TTTAATTCTATTGTTATATTTTAAATATTTACATCCCTATTAACCTTTATTATGCTTTTAATTTTAGTTTTAAACTGTGTTTTTAAGCATATATTCCATCATGTTGTATTATATGGCTTTAATTGCTATAAACCGACCCACACACTTTAGCTATTGGGAAGAATAAAAAGGTAATAATTTAAAAAAATCAATTGAATGTTTTTACACATTCAATCAAAAAGCTTAATCACATGATTCTGTGTAAAATGCTTTTCAGTGTCTACAAAGAAAACAGTTACTGAAAATGCATGTGTAACACTAATGTTCATGGCCTAAAGTATTGATCAAATGATGTGTTGATTCTCTCCACTAGATGAATGTTCAAAAGCTAGTATGGATGAATCAAACTGTAATCACAGAATTCCTTCTCAGTGGATTTGGAGATCTCCCAGATTTGCAGGTTCTTCTTTATCTGTTGTTCCTCATCATCTACTTCACAATGGTGGCAGGGAATGTAATTGTTCTTATATTGGTTGCCTCTGACCATCATCTACATACCCCCATGCATTTCTTTCTTGGGAATTTGTCTTGTTTGGAGACCTGCTACAGCTCAACCATCCTCCCCAGAATGGTGGCCAGTTTCCTGATTGGGAACCAAGGTGTTTCTGTTGATACCTGCATTGCACAGTTATGGGCTTTTGGTTTTTTGGCTGCAGCAGAATGCTACCTCCTGGCAGCCATGTTTTATGATCACTACTTGGGAATTTGTTGAACACTCCATTACACAGTCATTATGAATTTCAAGGTTTGCCTCCAACTTGTGGCTTGATCGTGCATTAGTGGTTTTGTGATCAATATTATCTCATTAAGTTTTATAATTCAATTAACTTTCTGTGGCCATAATGACATTGAGCATTTCTTTTGTGATTTTCTTTCATTGATGAAGTTGGCCTGCAGTGGGGCACAATTTGTAGAATGAATATAGGCTGTTCTGTCTGCACTCTGTGCTCTGCCATCATTTGTTTTAACCATAGCATCACATGCCTACATCATCACAGCCACTCTCGGCATCCCATCTACCACAGGGAGGCAAAAAGCCTTCTCTACCTGCTCTTCCCACCTCATTGTGGTGACCCTTTTCTATGGTACGCTCATCATAGCGTATATTTTGCCTGACGCCAGTGAACTGAGACAGCTCTACAGAGTCTTTTCTGTCTTTTACCCCATCCTAATACCTCTGGTCAATCGCCTCATATACACCCTGAGGAACAAAGAGGTGAAGGAGGCCTTGAGGAGAGCAGCTGGCAGGTGTGCCAGTCAGGTAGGATAGAAGGCCTTCTCAGGCATTCATGGACAATGAGAGTAGGGCAGCGGAAGTACAACTGTAACCCCCACCAGCATCAGAGCTCACTATGGGCAGTGAAGAACTTGTGCTGAATAACCAGAGGTCTGTGGGCATCATGGTCAGGACTGGCTCCAGGTGCATGGAGTGCATGCAAAAAGGAAACAAGATGGCTATTTCACTTTTATAGTTCCCCAATTGCATCTCCTTACTGTTAACAAGTGCTGTATTCAAAGGCAAACCTTCTAATATTGCTGCATTTGAAATGAAAAAGTCTGAAATCCAGGATGTGTGCAAATCTGGTAAATCTGTTTGAAAATGTCAGCTGAATTTCTCATTTTTTCCTAGTGAATAAAATAAATGGGTAAATGAATGCCTGAATAAAGGCATAGCATGGTCTAAATCTGAAAATACTTGCTAAGACATTCCCATTTGTAGCCAATATTGATTCCATCCATTAGTTTAACATTTCTTTACAGGTTTCTTTCACACACATACAAAAATCAAAGTAACTTTCCTGTACATAGTTGCTTCCATGTCAGAGGCATCCAGGGGGCAGAATACAATCCTGCTGTTGTGTCTCTAAGGCTATTTCACCTGCAGTGCCATAGGAAGTTAGTCCTTCCTAAAGCAACCTTGGAATCAAGGAGAGTTATTCCTTTCCAGATTGGGAGATGTCCATGGAATTTCCTTCTTCTAATTCCACTGGCCTACCCATTCTATAAATCACTGGTCCCACTTTTTCCTGGTTGCTTCCAGAATGGCCAGCCTCCCATTCTTCTAGTATTTGGTCTCACTAGTTACATGGGCAGCGGCGAATACTTCTCTTGGCTTCCTGAAAAGTGGATTTGGCTGAGAACTCAGGTATGGGGAATACAGGCCATTACCTATAGCACTTCTTAAAGTGGCTTCAGAATGCACACACTCTTTCCACTCCTAATGTTCCCAGTGTCACAGGAAAAGAAAGCTGTGAAATGTACACATCATTTAAAGGAGGACTAAATGATGAACCAAGTTGGCACATAGTTAATATCCAACAGATGGCAGCATAGGAAAAGAAATTTCACCCCTGTGAAAACTGTGTCATGACTTGTGTTTCTGATAAGTGCTACAAGGTGAAAACCTCCATCCCAGCCTGCCCTGTTTTGTCTAAATTTGGATGCTGATAAATCTCACAACTTTTTTTTGCACATTTCTATCAAACTAAAATGTGAAATGTGATGTTCTCAACTCAGAAAAAATAGCAAATCAGAGACACAATTTATAGTGATAGTGTGGTCCTTAAGAGTTGTAGTTTCCCAACCTTTGGAAGCTCAAGTGAGCATGGAAAGCCCTCCACATAACATGTGAACTGAGTGTTTCTAATTTTGTTTCGCCTATTTCTTTAATGTAATCCCAATTTTGCCCTCCCCTTGCATTGGCTGTCTGCTTGCTTCTGAGCCCAAATCTAGCTATAAAGCCATAAATGGCCAAGGACCCTAATACCTGAGCAAGCAGCTCCCTTAGTGAACACCACCATCATCATCTGAAGTCCTCTTCCAAATGCCACCTCTGAGGGCATTCTTGGTGGGTCCCCCAATTTTTGAATGCTTCCCCACTGAGGTCAGCCTGGCATAAACATGGCCACTTTACATCACCAGGTCAAAACTTCCATCTGCTCTCAGACATTTGGCACCATACACTGTTTTTTTCTTTTAATTGGTCCTGGAATGTTTATTGCTGACAGTGAAGGGGTTTTTTTCTCTTGTGAATGGTCTTAAACTTTATTGTATTTTTATGGTTTTAATCTTTGGAAACCACTACAGAGCTTTCTCTGTTGGGTGATGTGAATATTTCATTTATCAAATGAAATGAAAATGTGTGTTCATCCATGGATTTGCAGATGTTCAACATTTCCAGAACACCAGAATGCCCTAAGAGATAGCAGTTGTATCTTGTCTTTAACTCCAAAGGTAACACCTTGGGGATTTTTTTCTTCTCTACCTATCTTGTGGTGAATCCAGAGGGTCTAAAGAGTCTGAAAACTAAAGCTATTTGCTTATCCATGTTGCAAAAGTTAGCATCACTTGAGCAATTACCTTCCTTGTGGATGAAGACAAGTATCATTATTGCTTAAAACAAGGACGGCTGCTTAGGAGAGCTTCAGGGAAATGAGCCTTGCATAAACATATCTATTAGCTCTTGAAAAAATAAAATAAGTCACTAGAGATGCCTTTTGTTTGCTCATTTGTTTCATTCATTCCATTGAAGGAAAATTCTGAAGCTACATATGGATTGCCACTGAAGGCAGACAATTGTGTTTTTCACAGGACAGCACAAGAATAACAAGGTGGGCATTTGCTTGATTAATGGATTTTAGCACTGCATCAACGAAGTAGTGATGTTTATAGAATAGATTTATGATTCCAAGAGCATATGGACAGCAATATTTCCTTTGTTCGTTTCATCAAACATGCAATTATAAAATCAGTCCATCTTCCTCTTCCCTGCCTTTCATTCTGTGATTGGCTTCTTGCTTTATTCTTTAACCCTTTCTTAGGGCAGGAAAAAACTTCAGTTTCCTTACTTCAGTTTCCTTACAACTAGAACTTGAGCAATGCAATATCTAGAAATAAGATACACACACCCCTGCCACTGCTAGAATAATCAAACTATTTTCAAACAACTTTAAATTCAAGCAAGAAAAATTGTCAAAGTGTGCTTTTGATCTCAAAATGGTTTACTGAAATTAATCACACTTTTTTTATTTATTATGAAGCAGAAGAAATGTTATACTGTTGTTTGTTTCCTGAGGCTTAGCAATAGAATGTTATATATCTGGGAATAATTCAATTAACACCTCTAATTGTAACATTTAAAGTTAGGCTTGTAACTTTCTGTATAAGGTTTTCAATATAGCTGTAATTGTGAATATACAGCTCAAGTGCCTATTACATCTTCTGCCATAGATATGAGATGCTAAATGACATCTTCATCTCACCCAGGCAATGTTTGCTTAATCAAATGCTACTTTTCTTTATCTAAGGTGGAACACGACATAGTTTTCTTAAAAAATGAACAAACTTAGATTGGAAGGGTAAAAAGAATTGTGTTAATTAACAATTCAGCACTGCCAGCCTCAAAGGAGGAATACTCCTAATGATCAGATATAACCTTTGCTAAAATGTTAGGAAGTCAATTAATCAGAAACTTGTTTTGTGCAAGACGAAGCAAAGCTGATTAAAGCTGATACTCATATATAATATGCATATCTAAGCAATAATCATATCTACTTCAGAGTAAGCTCCAATGAACTCAGCAGGACTTGCTTTTCAGTAGGCATACATATTTTCTGATATGTAACATACATGGTGACTGTAGATAATTCCTTTTACAAACTCTAACCCCTTTTCCTGTTAGGTTTGGTAGTGTCTACATAATACAGTGCATACTTAATAAAGTGTGGTGTGGTGCTTAAAGTGTTGGACTGGGGGCCCAGGGGATCCATCTTCTAGTTTCCATTTGGTCATGAAGCTAGTTAGGCAACTTTTGATCAGTCACTGACTCTCAGCTTAACCTATTTGAAGGACTGTTGTTATGAAGATAAAATGATATGGAGAAGGACTATATAATTTGCCTTGGATTTATCATAACAGGAAAAAGGTGGAATATAAATGTAATAATAATAGAAGAAGAAGACATGGAGCAGAAGAACATTTCAGAAGTATCAGGATTTCTTCTTCTAGGACTATCTCAAGTCAAAGAAGTTCAATTTGCTCTTTTCTTGGTGTTTATACTCTTCTATTTGTTGATCTTGCCTGGGAATATCCTCATCATTGTTACCATCTGGATGGACCACCACTTGGCTTTCCCAATGTACTTTTTCCTAGCCAATCTAGCCTTCCTTGACATTTGCTACTGCTCTGTCACCCCACCCAAGATGCTAGCAGATTTCCTAAGTGAGCACAAGACTATTTCCTATGGAGGATGCATGTGCCAGCTCTTTTTCCTGCATTTCTTGGGAGCAGCTGAAATATTCCTACTGATGGCCATGGCCTATGACAGGTATGTTGCCATATGTAGACCACTTCAGTACCTATATCTTGTGAGCAGAGGTGTGTGTTGCACCTGGGTGGGGGTTTCATGGCTTGGGGGATTTGTTCATGCAATTATCCTGGTCCTTTTGACCCATCAGCTCCCCTTTTGTGGCCCCAATATCCTGGACAATTTCTTTTGTGATATCAATCAGGTCATCAAACTGGCCTGCACTGATACATACATGGTAGAGATCCTAACTTTCATCAACAATGGTCTTGTTATATTGACCTCCTTCACACTTTTACTGATCTCATATGCAATACTTATGCTCAAACTAAGACCTAGTACTACCCAAGGCAAAGTTTCATCCACCTGTGTCACCCACATTATTGTTATCTTTGTGATGTGTGCTCCAGCCATCTACCTCTACATATACCCTTTGGAGCCCTTACCCATGGACAAGATGGTGGCTGTCTTCCATACTGTGATCTTCCCCTTGCTCAATCCTATGATCTACACAATGAGGAACAAAGTAATCAAGAGCTCCATGAAGAAATTAATCAAAAGGCACTTTCTCTGGATCACAAAGTGAAAAGAAGGAAGAAAACTGGGAGGAGTAAAGCACAGGGCCCAGAGTTGTGTTTCTTCAGCCAAATGAAATGCGTATACCCAAACATTTGCTCCAATGACAGGGGTGAATCCAGACTTTTTATTTATTTATTTATTTAAAACATTTTTATGCCGCCCCCATCACAACAAAGCCTCGGGGCAGCTCACAACAAGAACAAAATACTCAGCCATAACAAATTATACAATAAAAATGTTAAAACCTAGTAAACTTAGTAATAACTAGAATAAACCTCCTGAAATAAATAGGGTTTATTTATTTATTCAATTATTAATTATTCATCTACATTCCATACTTGCATTTTCAGAGTAGGAACAATGTGTAGAGCATTGCTGAAATGTTTACAGTTTTCCAGATGGGTTAAAAATGACTTCTAACCATTGATCTAGTTATACATGAGGTTTTATATGCCAACTGTACTAAGATATACACTCCCTCCACACTAATTTCTGGTGTCTGCAGTATAAGTACCCTGTGAGGTCCAGTTAGTGGCAAAGACAGATTTGGATAATCGATGCTCTTAACAATCACAAAGGGGTAGTAGATATTGCTTTCTCACCATGGTCTGTTTGGTGCCACCTGTGGTCTTTTACCCTAGGAAAACTGACCTGATCCATTTAGAAGGAGCTTTCCAAATGGCAAGGCTGGCACACTTCATTGTGCCTTTGGACATGCTATCTCTCGGCATTCATCAGAAGTGCCTGCATCCAAAGGTTCAGCACTTCCAAGATCCACTGTTCTGCTGGCCCATCAAAAGCTAAATACAGGGCAGCATTCAACCAAAGCCAAACAAATAGCAACTCATTCCACTGGTGCTCATGATCCATCTCAGGGACAACAACTGAGCTATGTGATCAACCCAATCTTGGATTGATAAGTAAGATTTTGAGATGACTGCAAAGCATGCATGCAAAGACAGAGTGTGTATGACGTGGCAAACCATGCAGCATGAGCTGATTGCCTGGGTCCCACCATGTGCCCATCAGATGGTTGGGCACATTGTGGTCCATGTCTACCTCTTCATCCTCCTGCAGATATTTCAGAGGACCCTGGCAGTTTTGTTAAGCCAAAACAGTTTTTCCTTACTGTATAACTTATATAGCAACCCTTTCCCTCTTCAACATTTTGCCCAAAGCAAAATCAACCATATTATCAGCAGAACAAAAATGTGAGGTGGGGTGTTACTCCAAAACTGTGTGGTATGCTGTAAACTAAATAATGCTTCAACATTTCTAGTTTCTGCATTCTGCTTCCTGACAAACAATTTGCCCATGATTCTCAGGGGCATGTCAAGTCCAGGGCATCTGGGCTGACATTGTGCTCTATCAAGTGCAAAGCACTCTGAACAGTTTCATGACCCACCACCTAAATTACTGTGGGAGGGCCAGATCTCTGTGATCCCACCCCTGTGATTAGCAGTGCAATGGAAGTGCAAAAGGATGCATTCCCCAGATAAATCAGGTACAGTGGATTCTTCCCCCTCACACCCAATACTGCAGTCTCAAGACTTGTGTAAGACTCCAGGGAGGCTACCCACCTCCCCTTTCATTTTGGGAAGACAGAGTGAGAGCTACGGCTAGTGGGCTCTATCCTCATTCAAAGAGCCCTGCTTTCCGCTTGCCCACAGTTGCATTTGTGTCAGTGCGTGGGTGGGGCCATTGTGGCAACCAGAGGTTTATGAGATGCTTATTTCAGCTCAGTTTTGATCAGGACACTCACAGGTTGCACCTACCTGACCAAAAATGGACTGGGACATGATGTATAATTAAAAGAAGCGTGCATTTCTGAGCTTGTGGTGCGAGTCACACACTCTCAAACACACATTTGACAGCATGCATGCATTTCAAAATTAGTTTTGAAAAATGTGCACAAATGCACTTTTTTATTGAGGAGAAATATATACATTTCAAAGTTGCACACAATTGATGCATGTACAAAAATAGACATGGTTTGCATGCAAAAGGAAGAAAGAAAGAAAGAAAGAAAGAAAGAAAGAAAGAAAGAAAGGAAGGAAGGAAGGAAGGAAGGAAGGAAGGAAGGAAGGAAGGAAGGACAGCTTACAATCTGAATGAACTTTGAAATGGAATCCAGAGAACTTCAGAAAGCATGAATTTTGTTGATTTGCACATCCCTAGTGGCAGGTCTAGTTAGCTTTGTCTGTGAAATATCAAATTTCATAACTTAGATATTTGGATAAGTGTGGGAACAAGTATCAACAGAATTATATTTGCGACAAAGTAATGTAATGCCAGTATTAAATTTTGGTCAGAAAATGTTCTGGTATGGATTGCTCTCTCTCGCTCTCTCTCTCCTCTCTCTCTCCCTCTCTCTTGATCTCTGTGTGTGTGTGAACAAACCAACCCCAAATCACCTGCTAATTTCTGTATGTCAAGTTGCTCTTCCAGGCCTTTTCCTGGTTAGTTGGCAACCCAGTTCCCAGCACTGCCAGTGCTAACAACAACCAGAAAACCAATAAGAAGCATCTTCCCTTTGAAGAGATTTCAGTGGTTTGTTATTGTGCCTTTGACTTGGAGTTTGCTCCCCTTCACTCAGAATCTTTTCCCAAAGTATGCATGTCCCAATGTAGTAATGGAACGTAGGTATCAGTCCAAGCTGTGAAAAATTTGAGGGAAATCTAAAATAAGGCTTCCATTATACACATCTTTATATTTATGATGGATAAAATTAAAGGTATTTTTGGCATCTTGCCCAATCAGAAATACAAAAACAGATAACAAATCTTTGTTTTGGTATTTCTTTGTCTCTGCAATAATCATGGCAACAACAGAATTTGCCAATTTAAGAGAAAATGGCAATGCCCAGACTGTGGGAGGAGGTATGTGCAAAACCAGTCCATACTGGCATGAAGGAGTTGGAGGAGGTTCACAGTACAGGACCAAACATGTGTCGATGCCTGGAAACCTTCACAAATGTGAAAGATTTATCAGCTCTGTAACTGTTTCGAACACATTTCTGGAAAGTGGAAAATGTAATAATAACCCAAATCAAGGAATTTCTAGTCAGTAGGTCAGAAAGCAGTGAAACAAGTACTTGCATTGCCAAACACAGACATCGCATAACTAGCAAAACATCTGGGAGATGATACCTCATATCTTAACATCTCTGGGCAAATCACATATTGTCATTTAAATAAGTTTTAAATAAAGCTAAACACAAAATTTTCACTTGAGAATTTGAAGTTCAAACTTCAGGGTGGGGGTGAAAGAAATTCAAAGCTGGTAGAGTTTCAGGAAAGTCTGGGGGCATTTCTAATTAGTGCCTGCAAAGGGAGTCCCCACCCCACTTGCCAAGAAAGTGACGATGGGACTCCACTGAGTAGTTTGTAGCAGATGGATACAGAAAAGAGCTCCTTCCTTCTTGCTAATTGCTGATGAAGAAAGAAAGAAACCTTTCCTCTTTGCTAACCATATATCACCCCCCTAATAACTGAAATGCCCCCCCCCACATATTTTTGCATGTGAAAATACAGTGGAAAATCAGTTGGGGAGGGGATTATTCAACTCAAAATTGTTCACTCGAAAATGAACAGAATGAGCTACATTCATTCTGTTGGATCAACTTTTTGGATCAACGTGTTCCTTTGGAGAGTACTTCCACAAGCAAATTGGATTTGTGACTATATAATGTGTGAAAAGGCCTTTGAGTTTGTTCTTGTTATTTTGAAAAATCTTCATTATAGAAAGGGGAAAGTGGTTTGAGAAAGACTTTTGTTCCTATGGAACACAAACTTTTGTATTTCTAATGTCATCTCTCATCAAGCAGGTACTTACAGCCACCTGAAATAATATAGAGTCTAAAAATCTCATTCTCTAGAGGATGATATGGGTTGGATATGGCAGAAACTACAAACATTGACCTTTAATCCTTCATTTTCATACCAGTGCAGAGGGTGGGGGTGGGGAATAACAAACTTCTTGAGTCTATGAGAGTGTCTCTTTCATGACAAAAGAGTTGTGGACTGAGAAAGCCTGGATGCAAACTAGTCATATATACATACCTGGAAAAATGTGTCTGATACAAATACAAAGCAAACATCCAGAAATAAATCCCTCATCAAATCTGCCAATTTTGCAAAACAGACAAGATACCTTGATGAGGAGGGATCGGTTTGATTTACATGTTTGTCCTGGTTGTACCAGTTTACTATGCTTGGGGTGCTAGTATCATAGAAACAAGGCAGGAGTTCCAATTTTTCCGGGCAGATTGTGCAGATGGCATTCCATGATATCTCTCCCGTAATTCATCTGAGATGTTAGTTGTCTCCAAGAGCAGTGCGAATCTCTGCAACTAGTTTTGGACCCTGAAAGAAGAGACCGCTGAAAATGTGTTACTAGGCAAAGGTTTCCCACTCAGCTCTCCATCTGATTGATTAATTTAGTTCTATCCTTTCCAAGTTTTTAATGATAGTGTAATTTTTGTATGCTTAAGGACACAGTCCTAAGACCTCCTGATATCACCTGGGAGGCTGTAGAATTTCTTGGCATCCCAGCTCCAAGATCCTTTTCTCCTTGCTGGAACAAGAACTGTACCAGCCACTCCTACCAAGAGCAACCAGGTCTCAGAGAGGACAGTGAGGTTTGCTGTCTAGAAGGAATAATTAGGATTGCAGCCTTTATGATGTTTTGGAAATAATATAAGCATCTGAAATTTGGCAGATTAGTCATTTAATTAAGCTTTCCACATTCTTTCTCCCTGTCTTCATGTTCACACTCATATTTCTGCAACAAGAAACACTCTGTTTATCTTATCGAATTAATCTAGGGAGTTGATTCTGAAATAAATCCACATGCACACGAACACAGTTCTCTGTCCTGCGAGGACTATCAGGACACGAGTCACAAACCTTGTGGCTACATACTTTACTGGAGATTTCCTTAAGTCCCCTCTGTTTCTATTTCTCCTGCATCTCTTGTTCTGCTGGACACTCATTGATGGAATCAGATTTTGGGATGATAATTTCATTTATTTGCTAATGTAATCTGCACTAATGCATATTGCAGCAAATCCCCCTCCCCCTCATTATTACCAGAAAATGACCTCACCAGGTGCCCAAAGAAGAATACCTAGCACTGGTTGCTTGTCCTTTTCAACAACTTACCTCTACACTGAAACATTCTTCATGGTTGTTGGCATCGCAACATTTTGCTACCATTCCAGTGAATTTGACATTCACATTTAACAGCTGTTCATCAGTGATGGAGAGCTTATGTTTAACCAAGAAGACAAGAAACCTGCAATGAGAATAACAGTTAGCCACAAGGTAAATAATTGGGCATTTTAATTCCATGAAGACCCTGATGGGCATAGATGGGATAGAAGAGCTGAGCAGAGAGGGAGGCAGAGTTGAAGTCAGGGGACTAAAGGCAGAGAGAAAGAGATGTTAAATAAAGAGCAGAAATACTGACATCTATTAGCCTGTGGAGGTTTTAGTTTGAGGAAGTTTGTCAGTAGAGAAAGGAAATGGAGACGCATTGGTTGGGACAAAATCTCACAGGGGAAGCAAGGCAAGGAGGAAATGTGAGCTCAAAGTAGTGAAACCTGGATTGTGGAGGGCAGGGATGTCAACTTTCAGACTTCTGGGACCCGAGGGACCAGTATTTTCTTAAAAATACTGCCCTCTGTTACCCCACCTCCATTATAACAACAATGAAAATCTCCCATTTTCTGTGTATATCTGAAGAGAAATACTGAGGTAGGGTGGGAAGAGAGAGAGCAGAGTGCCAGCTGGAAGGAGTGAGGACAGTGGAGGTGTTAATCTTGGTAACAGCAGAACTGGCAACATGCACAGTTCTTTCCTCTCATGGCCAACTTCTGCTGTCATAGACACCATATTTGAAGATGTGCACAGGAGCTGAAGAGCAAGTTTGGCCTCATTTCTTCCACTAAGGACATCATCCCACAAATGGAGCATGACTGGCCCTAGGCCAATAGTCTGCATTGTGCTGTGCTAAGGAATCTATAGCATGATGATTTGACTGAAGTTGGGTTGGGATGAACCCTATCGGAATGCATCCCTCTCAGCTTTCACAGAATTCCTCCTGTGCTCAGCCTGGTGGTTCCCAAGTGAGCTGATTCAAGAGGCATGTGAATGCTTGCGGAGCCCCACTCAGGCAACAGGCAACCTTTATCCATGTCACCTGCAGCAGCTAGCATGGAAAAGGGGTGCTGCTTGTACAGAGGTCATGGGGGTTGCTTTCCTGGCAAGCCCTTCCTGACTAGCCTGCTTGCTTGCTTGCTTTCTTACATTTGTATGCTGTCTGATTGTGACACAGCACTTTTGGGCAGCTCACAATTACAGGATAGAAACACAATGAAAACACAATAAAAACCAATAATACATTAAAAATGAAATAACTATAAAATGCAAGCAAAAAATACAAAACAAAGGTCTTTGGTTATTAAAATATTTTTTTAAAAAAGAAAGGCCTTTGCCTGGTGCTGAAAAGAAATCAGGAAGGTGCCAGGTGAATCCCCATGGGAAGAGCATTCCATATATGGGGAGCAACTTCAGAAAAGGCCCTCCTTCTAGCGGGCATCCCTCTCAGGTCCTTAAGGAATGGCTCACACAGGAGGGCCTCATTTGGCACCAGTTGCAGCCATGCAAAGAGGGCTGCTCCTGAGGTGGGAGAGGGAGGCTGCTTAAACTGTTGCTAGGAGAGATGGACATTTTTGCTTTCTAATGAACTGGATTCCGAGCTGCTACAAAGTGAGTCAGAACCTGGAGAGCCTGTGGATCCAAAGGATTCCCACCTCCAAATGGATTGCTCACTCATCCCTAGTTGAAGTGATTATCTGACCTACCCTATTACTGCACCGGGAGGAGAGGAGGGAGAGATTGTCATTGGCTGAAAGAAGAGAGTAAGATGAGAGGTGGACAGGAAACACTGAGCGAGAGCAAGGTGTGTCAGTGTGTGTTGTCAGCAACTGTTGATATAAGGAAAGATGAAGTTTCTGTGCTGATTGCTTTGATGTAACCAGCAAGATCTTGAGCCTCAATCCTGTGGTTTCTTACATTTGCTTCATTGTTTGCTGCTCTTCTGGATTAGCCAAGCACAAATCTTCATGGAAGGTGAACAGTTCAGGATTGAATGGGACAGGAAAGTAGTCTGGATCAGTTCCTAAGCCACTGAAGCATTCCCGACGGAAAGGGTAGGAGCCACTGCAACATCTGGAGATCTGGCGGTTTATGTAATACACTGCATGTTGCTGGCATATTGCTCCCAGCACTATGTCTACCTAGAAAGCGAGAGAAAATGCATTGCAATCTGATCTGAAAAATGAGTCTCTCATATTTAAAGATATGCAAACTTTGCTTCAGTTTGAAAAATATCCAGCCACATCCCTCTTGCAGCTCCATACGTTAGAACATTCTTGATCTTGTAATCATATTTGCAAAATGGATGCCTTTTATAGCAGACTATAAAAAGTGGTTTTTTTTCCCAAATAGGAGACATTTGATGTTTTGATAAATGTTTAAATGGTGCATTTGGTTGCATAATGTTACATATTGTTAAAAATGTGCAATTTAATAATTGAATTGTACAAAAAAGTTGTGTGGGCAGGTGGGGGGATGCTTGTATTCAGGATGTAAACCACTTAGGGTTTTTCTGAATGCTTAGCAGGATGGAAGTATTACACATTAATAAAATAAATGTCTATATTTGATTTTGGTTTCTTTCTGTGGTCAGCTCTAATTTTGAGAATGCTAACATAATTCTTATTTGTTAAAAGTCCTAACTAGTTAAAGACCTTATTGGACTGGTCTATGTTAATACAAGCAACTTGAAGCAGGCCTGGTCCACAATTGGTAACTAGTGAAGTTTGGACAGATGTGAGCAGACGTGCAGCTTTATTTTGTATCAATTGCAACTTCTGGAGCCTTTACAAGGGCAACTGGAAAGTTGTAGTCAATGGCTTTGTGATTTTTAAATACATTTTCTTTAATGAATGAGTAAAATATGGAGGAAAAGTACTCACATTTCCCTCAGAACATTTCAATCTGTAGCCATCATCCTGGTTGCAGCATTTGTCAGCAATACTGGTTAGTTGCTTTGTGTATTCGTGCAGATCTGCAAATTCAAGCTGAGGTGCTTTCTTGGTGTAACGAGTAAGGAGCCTGCAATAAGAATGCACCGGAGGGTTCTAGTCAGAGAGGACATGAGAAGCAATGTTCAGGTATGGTGCACTTGCTCAATTACTTGAGGAGCTTGAGAAAGAAAGGAGCTGTCATGAGTGAAGTGAGGGCTGTGCTCAAAGAGAGTTAGGAAAATTGTGGACTTTTTCAGACATGCATGGATAAGATTAATGAAATCAAGCTACTGGAGGTTTAGCCAAAGAGTGTTTTTTTCCCATCCCCACAGAGTCTTATGTCCTTGTTTATACCAGAGACTTTTCCAAGGACTATGCTAGAGTTATTTAAATATGTGATAACAGCAGCAAGAGTTACACATTGCATCAAAGTGGAAAGCAGAAGACTGTCCTACTACTGAAGATTGGAAAAAATATGCTAGCTAAATATGCAACAATGGTGAAATTAACACACACACACATAATTTTCTCTCAAAGAATCTGACCTAATTTTGGCTTGTTTTACATTAAAACTTCTTAATACAAAGTATTCAAAAACTAAAATTGTGTGTGTGTGTGGGAGGTGGAGAATGAGGTGTGTGTTTGTTTTTGGAAAGAGAATCAGGAAACATCAATAGCTAATGGATGATCACCCACTGAGCAGTGACATTCCTTCAATTATCTGGGGATATATTTTAATGAAATACTCAGTTGGAAAACTTACTGGGAAGCTGTAAAATTAAAAACATCAAGTTAATTCAGAACATCCTGAAAATCTCACCCCTCCATTAAAAAAGAGAGACGATGGTGTGCCACCAGTAAAAAATAAAAATAAAAACCACCAGTTTACTAAGTATTTACAAAACATCACTTTATTTTGCTTAGTTCTTATAGAGCTCCAGTTTCAACTGCTTCTTTGGCAGGCTTGATGAAACTATATAAAGATACATCATCCTTTATACATCATCAAGGAGGTATATCAAGATTTCCTTTTTCTGCCACTAAATGATTGCCCCAGAACAAAATACACCCATTCTCTGAGTTAAGAACCGGTTCCATTCCTGAGATTGTCTTTAAGTCAAAAATCAAAGTCAGAAGTCAGATCATATACATATAAAGCATATAAAACAGTTAAGAAACTCTTCCATAAATATTAAAACATCTTATGCACAATACAGAATTTTAATAATGATAATAATACAGTAGTAATAGCTTAACTACTGATACTCAAGAGAGAGAAATCTGTATATATGTGTGTAGCTATACAGTACAGTTCTTAAAGCAGATAGAAAGAGAAAACAGTTTTTAAAAAAGGCTATTAAAGATTTACACTTCTTAAACTAACTTTTAAGCCTAACATTAACTGGATGATGATGAAGATGGGACTCCTTTATCCTTTAAAATTGTCCCAGAGGTCACTAAATCCATGTGATCTGAAACACACTGGCTTGGATAGGCTAGGTTTTCATGAGCATGAAAAACTACTGTAGTTCCACTGGGGCACAGGAACTTGTTCTGTCTTCTTCATTCACCATTTCCCCCTCCTTCTTCCCTTTCCCTCATACCTTTCTTGCCCTCCTTTCTCCTTTATTCTTCTCCTTGCCACCCAGTGCGCACCACCCATGGGCACTCTCTTGCCTCTTGGGGATGAGGTGGAACTTCTGGACTTGCTAGCTTGTAAATAGGGGTTGTTCCTAACTTGGATGTTTGTAACTGGGGGACTGGGCATATATCTCTTGTGTCACAAGGTAGAGAGTGACCTCACATGGTAGAATGCATACTTGCTCCCAGACACCCATGAATGTATATCTCATCCTCTTGCAACAACAAAAACAAATTTGACTTAGCTTTGTGAAGAAAGCCATAATGGACGGCAAAGGTGATCTCTGAAGTGGTAAGGCAAGTCAAAGTGCAAAGTGTTTTAGCTGTGTCTCCATACTCACAATTTATGTCCTATTTTAGATATTGTTCTTTGCTTTGTTTGTCGTGTCTTATAGACAAAAACAATATAATTGTGGAGTGATTGAATATCATTATGATGAGAACTGAAATGCTCAACCAGCTCAAGAAAGGCTGAGTAAAGAATCTCCAACACAGAACGTATGTTTCAGAATGCTTTTAGACCACTTCTGCAATAATACTATGACTGCGCTGTGATTTCTATTTCTTTTTCTTTTTTTAAAACCATCCTTTTTCATCTTTTTTTAGATGAAAAGATATAGCTGCCTACATCTCTGACTAAAATGTCTGAGCTCTGATAATCTTCTCCATATGCACAAGTGAGAATCTCAGGAGAATAACTTACATATTTTGGAAGGCGTAGTTTCCCAATTTTGAATGACGAGTACAAGCTGCCGTTACCACTGCTTTGGAGTCAGCAATGAGTTTCTCAAGTTGTTCTTCCTGAAAAACAGTGGGATTGTAGTTAAATACCTGCACTGAAAGTGAGCATAGCTACAATTCTCAACTGGCAATTCTCAAATTTTCATGTCTGTTTAAAAACTATCACAGATGCAGCTGAATTCAGATCCTTTGGGAGGAAATTCCAGAACTGGGTTTCTAGTGCTGAAAAGATTCTGCCTCATTGCTCCACCAACTGGCCTATTTTGCTGGTGGAACAAATAAATAGTCTTCAAAGATGATTTCAGTCCATGTCCAGGCTTATGTAGGAAGGCATTTTGTTTTCAAGCTTTGTAGATAAACACCAGCACCTTTGATGGGGTCTGGAAATGAATGGAAGTCAGTGCATCTGACACAAGATGCACAACACAATGTGCTTTTAAACATTTACAGTAATCTGGCTTGCACATTTTGCTCCAGCTTCAATTGCCAAGCTCTTTTCAAGGTCACCCCCACCACGAGCACCATTTTTTTTTCACAAGAGGCTCCTCTTTTTTAACAGCTATATAGGAGGCAAATCCATCATACTGAGGACAACTGTCCTTATTGAAATTGGCTAGTGTAGATGGAGTCCCTTGTTCCATCTTCATACAAAATTTTCATAATTAGCTTCACAGTTATTGCAAAACAGCGGGAAAACAACAGCAGCAGCAGCACACCCACAACACACAGAACTTCCTCTCATTGTATGAAGATAAAGGAGACTTGCCTTTTTGGAAAGGCATGGCTCAGGAATTTCAATTGCACAACATTCCTCCATAAGATCATGATATTGTTTGGTTAGTCTCAGCAGCAGCTGTGCTGAGAATTCTGGGTGTCCTTTTGCATACTGGAACACAAAGCTGCAACAGAGGAAAGCTTTCTTTGAGAGACAACAACAAGCACACTACCAATAAGAGCAATTACATTGAGGGTTCAAAGAAACTGAAATGCATTATCTCCCTAGTCCTTAGGACAAACCTGCCAGTATTATCTGTATATTGCAACTTAGAAAGTTTTTTGAGTTGGGGACCAACATGTTCAGCATTCATCTGCATAAAGGTTAGGGCACATTGCAGAGTTTGCTGATTTCTTTACTCCACTACACACACCTGCCATCCACCAGACACATTCCCATCAATCCAATGAGTTAGCAACAGCAAGAGTTGTGAGGTTATCTATCTGCATCTCATTCAATCTGAACTCAGTATGATTATATCCAAATAAATAATTCTGGTTTGTAGGCAGAAACGCTAATCCATTCCAGGTTAGCAAAAATTTACAATCCATTGATATCAGATAGACATGATGTTACAATGCATTTATCTCATTGTTTACCATGTGATTTAGGGACAAAGCAATCTAGGTAGATTTGGACTGATAGGGTTCCCATTGTGTCTGGAGAACTGATACAAACTGAGGAGGTATTAACTGAAGACAGACTGTAATATATGAACATGTTGCCTTGCTCTTGATTCCATCTGAGTGCAACATCTAGAATGCAGAACTAAAGTTTTGTAGAAACTCTTTCCTCTCCTTTCACAGGTGCTGCTTGCAACAGATAGGACTGAAAATAGTCTGAGATCTCTTACTTTAATAGATGTTGGTCCATATTTGTGGAAAAGTTTTGGCACATGTCTTTGCCTTCCACAAATTCCTTGAGTGTTGGAGTTAAATCTTCAGGTTTGTCCTCATTTTCCACCGATAGAAGGCACATTACTCTTTCCAGCAGAGGTTTCTCACAGCAGCTCTTCATTTGAGAAGAAATAGTATCTTGGTGGCTACAGATATAGGCTATCAATTTTTGCTGTAAGAAAAGAGAATCGCAAATTACTTTGTATTTGACAGAACTAGTTTTCCTTCTCAAGCTCTGGAGTATGCCAGAGATTTATCAAGTGCTTCTCCATGAACTAATTTTTAATTGTGGAGAGGTTGTGACTCAAATATGTCCCTGCCTTGACAGCAAACCCTCTCCTTCAATGAAAAAATGTAAAGACCTGCCAAGTATACTGTAGTTCGTACTTTCAGGTCCAGCATGGAATCAAAGAACTTTCATGTCCTAACCTAGAACGCGCGCTAGTGCCCTCAGAAACAAAGAAGGTGCTAAGGCACATGTGCTGACATTTCTTGGTAGAGAACACAATATAACTTTAAAATTTGTTGTATTCTTAATTTTGTTTCGTTCTTGGCAAGCTTCTAATTGTATATGGCACTCCCACCCTTTAGCCATTGTTAGCCAGATTAAACCCCAAGCTTCTTGTTAGAAGAAATTTCTGTAGTAGAGAATCTTACCCATTATGTGATATCCTGCCCATGTTATAGAGCTCCATGATAAATTTGGAGATGAGAGATAAATGTTTAGCTGGAATTTCATCTGTCACTGATTCATACTTGGAATCTGAGAAGATTGTTTTGAAGTCAGCATGCTTATGTATCCTATAGAGTAGTATTCCCCAACCTGGTGGCCTTCAGAAGCATTTGGACCACAACTCCCAGAATTCCCATCCAGCAGGACCATTGAATAGGAATTCTGGGTGTTGCAATCTAAACATGTCTGGAAGGCACAAGGTTGAGGAAGGCAGCTATACAGTGTCTCTGTTTGCTTTGGCAGCTATGAAGATTAAATCAAAGGGAGTAGTTAATTGATAGCAATTAAGCTAGTTTTTATTTTATTTTTATTTCAATTTTAACATTTGTTCTTATTTTTTTCTGATTTTTTACTATGTAATTTGTAAAATTTGTAATGGCCTATGGCTAAATGCAATAAAGCTTGTCTTGACTTTCTTTCTTGCTAGAAGAAATGCCTAGGTCAAGAGAAGCAATGGAATCAGGACAGACTGCGTCCAACACCCACTTCCTGAACTCCACTTGGGATTGCAAGATTATGTTCTTAAGATTCCCAAGAAGAAAGGTGGGATATAAATGTGATGTACTTAAGCAATAATCTGCATTGAGGGACCAGACCACCTGTTAACACAGTTACACAGAGTTAACTCTTGGAGACCCCCCCCCCCAGAATTCCTGTTTTGGACTCCTTTTATGCACAGGTTTCTTGGGTATTGTTTGAGTCACCAATTTCTCAGAGCTCTAAGTTGTTTAGGTGAAGACACAATGCTGGTCATCTCTTCTACATCTCCTGAAGTGAAGCCCATTTCAGAAGTTAGGTCCACTTCTCCAGAACACATGTACTGTATGTGTTCTTCTCCATTCTTCTTCAGGTACCTATCCTATATACCTAGAGCTGCATGTTTGTACTCATAGTACAGATTTATTCAAAATCATAGATATGCTGGCAGGTGGAGCCTGCTCCAGGTATGCCACACCTTGCGAAAACCCAAATGGCTCAGAAGGACTTGACTTCTTTCTCTGGCTAAAGGCGGCATCATGTGAATTCTCAAACCCTCTCTCTTGGTTTCAAATTGTAAATGTTGATGGAAGATAATGAAAGATCTCTCCCCGTGCTCTGCCCCTGAATCTGATTGCTGAACTCCTTTTCAGAGTTAGTAAATGAAAGCTGGGCAAAGCCTACAAAAGGAAGCAATGCTCCAAGGTGACCAGCAACCATGAGGCTTATTTTCTGCATGGTTCACATCTTGTTGGTTGGATGTCCCTGAAATGAAATGAATCAGTCTTACACCATCAAGGAAACACTGCAGCGTATCACCTCTGCAGCACTCGGCATAGGTGTGTGCAGCATCTGTGCCGATCTTGCTGGCAGTGGCCAAATCAGCCTTGAGGAACTTTGGGGCCAGTTTTATGATTTTCCTAGAAACAAAACCAAGGAAATGTCAGGAAAATTCCAAGGCAAATTCCAAATAACATCTAGCATTGTTCTCAAAGGGAGTCACAATGTAATCATGATCAGGACTAGACTACTCAGCCTACATCTAGTCTGTGCTAGTTCTGTGTACATTACATCTAAAGTCCATTCCATCCTCAGTTTACATCCATCTGGAAATGGATAATTGTTTTTAAAATGCATATAATTTGCATGTGAACATATGCATTTTGTGCATTTTGTGCCCTGTTCTGTAAATTAGCCCAAGCATGGTGAATTAGGACAGTCTTGATACCATCTATTTTTTCTTAGAAATTCAATAAATAAATACTGTCTGACAAAGACATCAATCACTGGGATCAAGCAGGACTGCCAGAATGCATTACTTTCTGCAAGAAACTAGACTTCAGCAAATTGGTCCTAGGTCTACTCCAAAGAAATAGATCCCAGACAGGTTGTTTCCCTATTTCCCTCCTTATCTTGCTTGGCTGTCTTTCTCCCCATGCCCTCTCTGTACCCTGTTGCTGTCCTGCTTTCAGAGGATTTCTTAACTGAAAGTCTAAGTTGCAGTCAAATGTCTATGGATTCTGCTTCCTATGGGCCACTTCCATATTTTCACCCAGCTCCGGTCCCAATCATTCAGCCACTCCTTCCCCTCCTTTCACAGATAGGATTGAAAATAGTCTGAAATCTCTATACCCTAGAAGGCACACATACAGAGTTTTTATGCAATGATTTTTAAGGATATTTAGGGATTACATGTGGTGTTTCTTAAGCTAGGTTAAGACATTCCCCTTGAAAATGTGGCTAGGGGTGCTGGTTTCCATATTTGGAATTTTGAAGACAGGAGAAGCTACCTTCCAGCAGCATCCAGCTTTTCAGCTGTGCCTTGGGCAGACTTTTGACAGAAAGGAATGGGAAGATCTATTGCTGCTGCTGCCACATCCCAAGCCTTCTTCTGGATTCCACATACTGTCCTTCAGAGAATGACTCCCACCCATTTCAGCCCATTTCTGGCTGGATACCATATTTGCAGATGAGACATGCTGGATTATCCAGCCAGGCTAGGTGGGTTTTTTGTTTTACTGTACCACCTATGATGTATGCATTTGCCTGTGTGGCTGAACTGTGGGAAGAAGTTATTCCCAGACACACCTCTGAGCTTCATCTGCCATGTTGGATGACCCTGCAACATGGGGGTGGAATGGGGGCTGTTTCCTCCATTCTGACCCACAGTTCCATATGTCTTGATCTGAAAGATACAGTTGTGTCAGGGAGGTACTGGGCAGGGCACACACACACACACACACACACACACACTGATCAGTCACAAGCATGTTAGCCACTGGATCATTAAGTCAGTGAATTTATTTTTTATTCTTTATTCATGTCAGCAGCAGGCCAAAACGTTTTACTTTCCCAATGTTTTAAGACCTGACTGTTTTAATTGGGGTTTTAGTATTAGTTAAATTTTAGGATGCTGTTTTTTTTTTTAATTTTTTACATTTTGTATGGTTGTATCCTGCAATTTCAGTAATGGGACAGTTTATAAAAGTTTTAAATAAATAATTCCCCCTGCCCCCGCTCCCCCCCCCAAATGCAAGAGGCTTACAAAGCTTTCACAGTAGGTTCTCCATAAGTCTTTAGGACCCCACAACGATTAATCTGCACAGCCAGGGTAGTTTGCAATTGCTGGGAGATGTCTGGTACCTGTTACCAAAAATGAAAATACAATGGAAAATCTGAGAATTTTTCAATGCGTTCCCTGTGTGCCAACAGTACCATTTCTCTGCATGTGCTGGATTCATTGGAGCCTTTATTTCCAGAATCCAGTGTGCCTTTCCTCCTTGCTGCTACTGCTCTGGTTCTACAGAAGGAGGACTCAGCAGTCCTCCCCATTTGGTTGTCCTTCTGCACTCTCCTTGGCAGCTTGTCTTATTATTTCGGCCACCACGGCTTTTGCTTCTGGGGAGGAACTGCATAATTCTGAACTACAGATCCCAGATGCACTTTGAGAATGCACATTTTCAAAAGCTGATTTTCATGGAAAGGACCTTTCCTTTAAGGGAAAACTCTCCTCTCATTCTCAGCCTACTTAGGTGAGTTTATTTTCTGAGTAAGTAGCAAACTCCCTGTTCTTGGATGCACAGCTTAACATGGCGTGGAAGTTTAGTATTATCAGCAAATGTGGCCACTTCACTACTTACTGGGAGAGGGAACCAGTGGAAGAGCACATTCTTTACATTCATAGGGCGGTGGGAAAGATAACGGAGCCACAGGCCCTGTCACTTGCCCATCTACTGGTGCTAGACCTGTAAATTTCCTAGGCATTTCTGGATAAAAGGTCCAGGTAGGTTGGGGAAGGGCAAAACTGGCATCCCAGAACCTGGAGAACCACTGTCAGAGTAGCAAATATTTGGCCAGATGTATCACTTGTTTGACCATTTACAAAATAGCTTCCTAGAAATCTAGCTGAGGTAGATTCTCTATGAATACAAAGGAACAAGATCTGATCTAGATTACAGTGAAATACCTTTTCTCCAAAGCAGACATTCTTATCGGCAGCCTGGCAGCAAGTCTCCAGTACCTCATCATACTCGTTTTTGGCTTTAAGGATTGAGGCAATGTTTGTGAAAGGATGCCTTCTGCTAATTTCAAAGTTGTAGCTATGTAAGAAAGAGGGGAAATGCATGAATCTGCTGTATTTTCATATAGCAAAGGTTCTGGTCTTTATCCAGAAAGCTACAGTCAACAAGAAGTAGGTGGCCAATCATTTAGCCCAGTTCACTGAACGCATGAACAGGAATGGTAAATTTAAGTTCCCGTGCAAGAAATCCAGCTTACACACATTTATGTTTCTTAAATCCCACCACTTTCAGTGCAGTAGATAAGGCAAGATTTGCATATGGACCATTCTGTAATAATCTAAATCTGGAGACAAACATCGAGCATTGCCAAAACGGGGCTGTTAAAAACAAGGGGCAGACGGTATGCTTGGGAGAATCCCAAGAGTTGTAGGTGTTCCATGTGGAGCAAGAGAGGACACATTGCAGGATGTATGGGTGAAATGCAGAAGAGAAGCACTCCAGCTAGGAAGTAACAGTTCCCAGTAGATATCTGACAGCTGACATGAAGCAGCAATTTGCAATTGCTTCAGCAATTTCTGAAGAAAGTAAAACATCATTCTTCAGAAAAGGTATTCAAAACGAACAAGAAAACGGAATCAATTTACTTACACATCCAAAACTGGGCTTGCATTACTGTGATAGTCCTTGCAGTCCTCCAAAGATGGAGGGTCGAAGGGTGGAATGAAACCCGGAGTTGCATTTTTATGGGAGATAATGCACTCATTTCTTTCTGGATCAGCTTTAGCACAGCATTCGGTAACTTTGTGTCTCTCAGTGACACCTTGTTCATGACAAAGATTATCCAGGAAAATGGTATGCTGGTGAACAGAAGCAAAACTTCACTTTCATTCATTAGAAATGTGCTTATTTATTTATTTATTTATTTATTTATTTACATATATTTATAGGCCACCCATATTTACTGAGGTCTTCCCAGGCTGCTTACAATGTAAAACAATGTCTTATGTCTTAGTGCAATTAGATGAACTAATGCTAATCTTTGGAAATGCCCAAGGCTCTTAAATTATAAACTAATGTCTAGAGCCCTAAAATATATATTGTTCATATCCTGTCTTTGTCATGCATGCATTTTACATGCTTGCTTCCATAATAAAATTTTAAATAGGAATGCACTCACTCTCTGTGGTAACTACAGATTCTGTATTCACTGGATTTTTAACCTGTTCTAGAGGAGCATCTATAATTTTAGCTTCATTTTGGGTACCAATTTAAAATTTTATGATATTGACGTGGGACCAATCGGATCTGAAAGATCAAGTTTTCCAAAAAGACACAATGTCAGAAATGCTGTTTGGATCACTTAAAGTGCATTTTTGGATGGTGTGTTGAATGAGGAAGGTAATACGGTAGCACAGATCACACTGAGTGGTTTATTCACACCCGGAGAGTTGCCTTCTGAATGAAATTGGACTGTGAGAGAAGATTAAGCAGGGAGGATGCCTTTAAACCCTGATTTACATCAAAAGAACCTAGCTGTGAACAGATCTTAATTAATCTGAGAGATTCAGAGTAATTTTCTTGTTTTGCCTCAAGTGATGACAGATTTCTCATTCAAATAATTTTGCGACTGACCGGGACTCAAGAATGTGTACTATATCAATATTTCTGAGCAAATTGTCCAAATCTATTTCTCAGATGCTTACCAAAGGCTTTACACATGCTAGGTCTGATTGTTCATCAGCAGCACACTTCTCTGCAAGTGCTACAATATTATCCCGCAGTTTAGTCACGTCCTGCAATGTGGCTTTCTGCAAAATCTGTGAGTACAGCGCATAGACACTGGAAAAGAGCCATATGAAAACAATTCTGTGTATAACAAATTCCTGGCACAACTGAATTATTATGTGTGGGATGTGTCTGCTATTTGCTTGTTTGCTTTAAGCAGAAAAGGGGGTAAAAGTTGAAGGAAGAGCCTTCAGAGCTGTAAGTCTCAAAAAATATAGGTCAAAAATATTGGAGGGGAAAACAAGCTAAAAGCAGTGAGGAAGAGAAGGAGAAGAGGGAGAAGGAGGAAAATGTGACCACAACCATACCTCTCTTGTTTTGGTGGATTACTCTTACACAGAAATGTTGGAGATCTTTCAGTTTCAGGCCAAATTTAAGCCAGAAAAGTTTATCAGTGATGTGTAGGGTTAAAACCCAAGCACTTAGGCCAAGGCAAATAGGATGGGACCAAAGTTATCAAAAATATCAGCATTTTTAATTGAAAGTGCTTAGAGGAATTTCAAGAAGCACTTCAAACACCAGGATTTGGCTCAAACTAATTCACACTTCCAAATCATTTCCTTTTGCATATGACATTGAATGGAAATGTCCTTTTTAGAATGATGCCTGCCACCATCTGCTTTTTGCAGATTGTCAGGCACCTTTCACTTTATTCTCCACTCATTATCCTCCATGTACTTGCAGACATTCATGTTTCCAAAAATGTACCTCCAGACACATTTGCATGCTTTAGTCTATAGGAGGAAAGACACATTTTTGGACAATAGCACTTGCTTGTGCTTATTTTCCTGTTTTCCTGAAACTGTTTTCATGTAAATACATGTAAAATTATGGGCAGCAGAGTAGGGCAACAACAATTAACACCACTATTAAAACACTCCACAAATCCATGGAATCTCTGTGACTCAGGAAGAATCCATGAGTCCAATTCAGAGAAATGCATACTCATCTGAATCTGATGTGGATTCCTCCAAGATCCCTGGTGAGAGATTACATCAAATGCTATTGGTCAACCATTTAATGAGTGATGCACCTAATGTGGCAACTTGGGCTGAAGGTCCAGGCCCTGGAGCCTAGAGGGGTCCCAAATTCCAACCCAGAAAAGAGAAGGCAAAGAGGCTAGCAGAAGCAAAGTCTGTTTTATTCCAGCAGTCAGGATGGTGCTGAGTTCCATGAGTTTAAAATGAAAAGCTTCACATATTCAGAGCATATTTTTAATTAATACACAAAACCAACTAAAAGACCCTTCTAAGTCAGTCCTCGCTGCAAGACCACATGGGCAGAGCTATCCAATGGGGTTGCCCACAGCCCTCCAATCATGGAGCACTATAAACATCCTATCAAGGGTGGAAGGAACACGGAGGCAAAGTTGCCTCCATGCTTCTTTAAACCTGCAAAACACTCAGACAACTGATTTTTGCTATATGTTCTGCACTTACTTGCCACAAGAAGAGCAAGACACCATCAGGATATAGCGTAGCTCCACAAGACCTCTCTCCTCCTCTCCCTACTTCCCATGATCCCTCCTATGAGAGCTCTGAACTCAGTCTTGTGACATTGGAGACAAAACCAACTTGAAAATCACCACACTGGCTGAGAGGATGGAGGGTGGATTCTCCTCAGAGGGCATTGCCAAGGCCAGAGCTGGAACTCTGACCTATCCTTAGGCCATCTGGACAGCATCCAGTGGCTAGACGATTGCTAAACATCTAGAATTAATGTTAGCTACCATGTCTAAAACTATTGCATGGCCGTAAGTTCCATGCAACTTCATAAACTGCTGTTATTGACAATCTAAACTGTACCCATGCTCGTATTTCATAACCTTGGTATCTCACATCCCTTCTTATGTGGATGAGTACACAAGAAACAAATTTGTGGTAAATATTTCTGAAAAGACTTACATGCTTCCAAAATCACTGGAAAAATGTTCAAAGACAGATTTGATGGTGTCATGTCCTGCAAAGAAGAGAGTGGTTCCATTTTCAATCACTTTTTCTCACAGCATTTGTATACCTTGAAGGTTTTCTTACTGCAGTGAGTGTGTTCCACATTGTGGTAAAGAATCAGCTCACTTTTAAATGAAATCAAATTAAGGTGTTTAATGCCGAGGATATGAACGTTGAAGTCTTCTGCAACCTGGCGTTCTGAAGATGTGTTGAACTGCAACTCCCATCAATCCCAGACACCATGGGCATTGGCCATATTTGATAACTTTGGGTTCACAATAAATGGAACCAGCATTGGAAGAAGACAATGGAGATCAAAAAAGGAAACCTACAAAGACCTCTTAGATATAATACCAAGTTCTCAATTGATCAGATAACTTGAAAAATAAATGGTCTCCAGTTAAATCATATAGGGATTCAAATGTACTGACTATGAAATGAGTCACTGCACAATAACCTATGTAAAAGACACATGTTCAGAGCAACTTAGAATGGACTCTTAAGGCTGTATTGACCAGGATAATTAAATACAGTTCCACAAAGCCTTTCAGCTTCACTTTGTCCCGGGAGCCAGAAATATATTCAGCAGTTTCTAATTGAGCTTATTTCACTGAACTTGAAAGTTGAAGTTCTCCCATCCCTTGAGTCAAGAGAGGAAAAACATATGGCTGCATCACCCCGTCCCCATTGCCTCTTCCCTGCCCATCATCCATACCATGCCTTTCCATGTTGTCCTTCAACCCCCTACCTACCACCCCCATGCCAATGTTGCCTGTTACCTCCACCCTTCCTCTGCCCACTCACCAACCTACCCCCCTCTGCCTGCATCATACAGTGTCAGTTTCTTCTCCTTCACTGTCACCACCCCCACTGCCCACCCTCTAACTTGCTCTCAGGCTTATCTGGAGGGCAAGGAATCTCTCCAAGAGCCACGTCAGTCTGAAAAAGCAGCCAGAGTGGCTTCTTCATTGCTGGCAGACTAACTGCACAGTTAATTTGCACAAGGCATTGCAAGCAGAATGGAGACGTGACTGTACTGTTCAAATTGAACCTTCTAGTTCTGTTCAGAGTCAGGATGCACTTGGAAGATCTCCAGTGGGATAGCAGCTAAGGTGAATCAGGCATGCACAGGAAAATGTCTCTTTAGACAAAACTCTTAGTCTTTCTTATATTTTTTTTTAATTTCATAGAAAAACCAATATAATCTGATCAGTCCATGCAAAGATTTTCAGAAAAATTATATGAAAGGTTGGGGAGTGCTCAGAGTTGTATAACATACTTGGGATTAAACCTTTAATGAATGAAGATTACATATCACCCAAGATCTCTGGGCAGCCCTCCCTTTCAATTTTTCTCTCTCTCCCTCACACATACACACTTTAAGAGAAAGAAAATAAAACATTTCTAACACCTAAAAAGAGTTCCAATGGTATAGAATGACTTCAAAATCCTATCATATGTTCACAAATGGCAGTAGAGGACAGTCTTAACCTGGCACCAAAAAGTTACCAGTGTTGGTGACAGGTGGATCTTAATGGATAGATCATTCTACCACTGGGGAGCCACCACCAAGAAGGCCCTCTCATGTGTATCCACCCCGCAGGCTTCCCTCAGAAGAGGCAGTTGGAGGAAGACCTGAATGGTTGGTGTCAGTTTATGGGCCTGCAGAGGTGCTCCATAAGGTATTGCGATGCTGGGTCAAGAATGGTTTTATAGGACAAAACCTTGAACTCACCTTGACTCAAGTTCAGAAATGTACCAGTAGACAGTTTATGCAGTCCAGAAGTGGCACTATATATTCTAAAATTTTAGTCCCTACTCTCAATTTGATTGCTATACTTTGCACAATCAGCAGCTTCTGAACTATCTACAAAGGCAGTCCCACAGAGACCAGAATACTAACCTGAAGGTTACCAGAACATACATCACTAAAGCTAAGTTATCCCTGTCAGAGGTAGCTACAGCCAGCTCACCAGCCAAAGCTGATGCAAGACTGTCAGTCTGTGCCTCTGAGGCCACCTGAACCTGAAGGGACACTGATGATGGCTCTAGGAGGAGGTCCAAGCAATCAACCTTTTCCTTTCAGTAGGAGGACAGTCCCATCCAGAACTGGTTGACTCTCCTCCATCGTGTCAGATGAATCACCCACCCACAGCATCTCAGCCTTGTCTGGATGGAGCTTTAGTGCATTAACCTAAATGCACTTTGGGCCAGTCCCAGACTCTCAGCCCAACCTACCTCACAGGGTCGTTGTTGTGGGGATAAGATGGAGGAGGAGAATGATGTAAGCTGCCTTGAGCCCTTTGTAGGAAAAAAGCAGGATATAAATCGAAAAATAAATAAATAAATACATAAACCTTCATCCAGTCCGTTGTTGCAGTGAGGCAATAATTTAGCACACACACAGCCTCACCTGCAGAGGATGAAAACAAGAACTAGAACAGCAAGTCAACAGCATACTGATGGCAGGATATGCCCGATCTCCTGATGGCTCCACTCAACAGTTTCAAATAGATGTGGAATAACATGGTGGTTAATCCTTAAGCTCCTACTAGGTAATCCATAGAGCTGAGTATAATCTGAAGAACACCTTCCAGAGACAACTATCTAAGGAGGAGCATATCTAAGCACCCCTGCCTCACCGGTCTGTGCCTGCCACCGCTGCCTTTCAACTGGCCCCCTGTTGAAAAAGTTTGAGGACCCCTGATCTAGAAGGATACCCCTGTTTCTGATATCCAAAGCCAATGAAAGTTCAAGGAGAATCAGCAGGATCCCATTCCTCATGTCTCTTCTCAGCAAATGTTATCATGCAGGGTAATCAACTTTGTTTCACTGCCAAATCCAGTCCAAGTCTTCACTGAAATGGATCCAAATCATCAGTTTCATCCAAGAAAGTCTGGAGCTGGATGACAACTCAAGGACATAGAAGAGGTGGGGTGGAAAAAACCTTCTTACCTACATCTCGATATCTTCTGGGAAGGTGATTTGATTCAGCAAAGCTTACCAAAACAAGACAAGAAATTAATGCTACCCACTTCATGCTTCCAAATTGTTTAGGGGCTTGAATGTGCAAGGCAGAAAAATCAAGGGGGAAGATGGAGACTTTATACTCTGGTACAAGGATCTTGGGTTAATAACTAGCCATCATATATCATTTGTATGGGAAGGACATGAGAAATACTCCTTCTAATTTTCAAATATTTACCCCCTAACTTTATCTTATAAAATGTTCTGCCAACTAAGGCCTTCCCCTGCCTGCTCCCATCAAATCAGGAAAGATAGACATTAACCTTATCATACTACAAATCAGCCAAGAAAACTGTTTTCGTTGTTACCCTGTAACTCTGGTACCAACCTTTCACCTCTTGATATTTTGACACAGGTGAATAGAACTGATGTAAGCCACCAGGAATTTGTCAAGTGAAACAGCCCAGGCTCAGTGCAGAGGTCAGTGACCGGGGTTCACAAGGCTGCTGATGAGTCAACATTAGCTCTTGTGTAACAGGGACTGAAAACCTAGACTAGAATCAGATGAAGGAAAGGGAATCTCTTTCTATTGAGTCTTTCCCCATTAAGCTTTGCTAATCAGAAAATCGCAGCCAAGAAATTAAAAGATGCTTGCTCCTGGGGAGGAAAGCTATGGCAAATCTAGACAACATACTAAAAAGCAGAGACATCACCCTGCCAACAAAAGTGTGTATAGTCAAGGCTATGGTTTTCCTAGTTGCAATGTATGACTGTGAAAGCTGGACCGTAAGGAAGGCTGAGCACCAAAGAATTGAGACCTTTGAATTGTGGTGCTGGCGGAGACTCCTGAGAGTCCCTTGGACAGCAAGGCGATCAAACTGGTCAGTCCTAGAAGAGATCAACCCTGACTGCTCTTTAGAAGGCCAGATACTGAAGATGAAACTCAAATACATTGGCCACCTAATGAGAAGGAAGGTCTCCCTGGAGAAGAGCCTAATGCTGGGAACAATAGATGGCAAAAGAGGAAGGGGACAGCAGAGAATGAGGTGGCTGGATGGAGTCACTGAAACAGTTGGTGTGAGCTTGAGTGGACTCTGGGGGATGGTGGAGGACAGGAAGGCCTGGAGGAATGTTGTCCATGGGGTTGCAATGGGTCAGACACGACTTTGTGACTAACAACAACAATCAGAAAATTAATTCCCCATAATTATTTTTATTATATTTGGAAATATAACAGTCTGATATTGTTAACTCATTTCCCACCCACTTATATGAAATTTTGTTTTTGTCTCAGCATGCATTACTTTACGTGTCCTTAAATTGTCAATTGGATAATGAATCTTCACACATACAGTTATCTACATGGATACAACAACAAATACCCTTGGTGCATTTGACCAATTAAGGAAGAGAGAGAGATTTGGGCAATGGCTTGTGCAGAGCATAATCCAAAAGAAAGGAAGTGAATCTATTCAAGGCATCTTTAAAGAGATTTGAGATAAGCCAAGTGGTTGCTCGGAATCAGTTTCAAGATCTGTGGGCAAGTTTAGAGGCCACACTGATCCAACATTATTAGTCTAAACATATGGCGCCAGGTTAAGAAAGTGGAGCAATGGAGAAGTGTCAGGTATTGGGCCTGTATTTTAAATTAAGCTTGAACATAGCTCTAAGTTAAATGTCACTTACTTGCACATAGGGTCACACACAAACACACACTGAACATTCTGGAGTTGCACATTGCAATGGCATTGTTCAAGAAAACAAGCAGAAAAAATCCCAAGATAAATGACGAAGTTATTAATGCATTTGAAATACTTTAAGACTGTTTATATCGTCCAATAATGCTCCCATGAATTTGTTCAAATTTATTTTAGTCTTGGGCCAGGGAATGGGATCATCAGCATTGTCTAATGCACATGGCTGAAATGCATCATAATTCATTGTTTGGAGATGGCCCCACACACACACAGAGAGAGAGAGAGAGAGAGAGAGTCATACCTATTAATTCTGACTGCTTTTCAATAGGGGGATCTGATGCAGCACAGTTGATCAAGACAAGACAAGAAATGAGTCTGATGCAATTCATGGTTGCAAGCTGTTTAGCAGTTGGCCTGTACAAGACGAAAAGAACAACAGGGGAAATCGAACTTTCATTTTCTAGTTCATTCTGCATTAACAACAAAGGTCCATATTTGCTAAGGGCAGATTCTGTTTTCCAGAATTCTACCAATGTAATTATTTCCTGAACTTGGAAAAAGACACAGTGACATGATTGTTTGCAAAAGAAAACCAAAGTGTTTAAAAAAGCAGCATTCTAACCCCCAAACCACACTGGCTCTCCACTTCTTCCTCACACAATCCATTCAGGTATCACACCAGCTCTGCAATCAGGCAGAATTTATTTCCTTCCCCACTATATGCTCTCAGAAATAAATGGGGACGTGGTGGCAACTGTCTGGCCTGTTGGCCTGCCCTAGATCCACAAATGCCCAGTCTCTGAATTACCTTCTTAAGAATGCTCAGCTCAGTCCGAGAGTCAAGGCCATATGGTTTGCGCACATCCGAAGTTTCAACTCAGGTGGGGTGTCTGAAAGAAAGCCCAGTAAACAGACCAGGAATCTTGATACTGATCAGTTTTAATGAGGTCAGAGAACATGGATAACAATGCTTGTTGTTTGCCACAAAGAACAACTCTGTCTGAACTAATTTATAGCTCACCGTAACCTAGCACAGCTGACTAATAGAGTCAGCTTGCTGCTTCACGAAAAACTTCCTGTTCAGGCTGTTGGACTTCTGGCAAAGCTGTGCACTCTTTCTTTCTAAGGGGTGAATTCCCTCTGAATCCTACTATTGGGAACCCCAGGGACTGCCCAAGAGGGTCTCACAGTCATCTGCACCCACAAACCTGGCGTTTGACTACGGCTGGGACTCACTGTACTGACTCTCTTCATCTGAGGAATCCTTATCCAGGTAGGTCACGTCACCTGCATGCCTCAAACTCATATGCGATTGGTGGACCTGACTACAAAAGGCTAGGACTGGTTCATGGGGTGACACTTCCAAATCCTTTCAATTGGCTGGAACTCTTAGACTGCTTGCAACACATTCCCCCGTCCGCCCAAGCCTTGTGCCCCTTCTGACTAGGGTCCAGGGTAAATTCACTGCCTCTGGCACTTTTCAGACAGGGTGGAGGGATCTTTGAACACAGCTCATGAAGGAAAATGAAAATAGTGGGAATATGAATGAATGACAAGACTTTGTGAAACTAAATGCACTACTTGCATTAGGAATGTATGAGAATTTTGTTGCAGTTTACAAATGACTCAGTAATTCCCCTTTCAAAATCCCAAACATGAATGGGCGGGTACATTCTACCTCCCCATTCCCCAAAGGTAGCAAATTCCCAAACTTGCATTCCTGTTTGTAAAATGAAAGATCACAATTTTCTCAAAATGTACAACTTTCTCAAAATCTCAAAATGCATAATTTCCCCCATACGAATGAGCAGAAAACCACATTGCAGCAATAATTGCAGAAAGGGAGTTTATGGTTTGACTGGAGAAGCACTTATTTTAGACTTGGGATTTTTTTAAGGTAAGCTTCTGATGGTTTAAAAGCAGATCCCATGTTTCAGGTGTTTGAGGTTTCATTCCAGCCAACACTGTGTTTTGTTTTGGGGTCTTTAAATCTAATTCAACAGTGAGAGCATATTAGCAAAGGTCTTGAATCATGTATTGTCAGTGTGATGCATTATTGGGGTATTTGGCTTACCTACCCCTGTCAGAGCTGGAGAAAGCCCTCAGACCCTTTGGGTTAAAGACTTCACACCACTGGATTGCTTCTGGTTGCTTACCTTGCTGCTGGAAAGATTCTGTTGATATCTTTAAGGGATTATCTAATAAATTAAAAAAGCTTACAAATTCATTTTCTTATATTGCTGAGTCTTCTTAGTAATTCTTAAAAGTTTTAATATGTTGACTCCTTTTTTGCAGCTTTCCATTTTGACAGTTTTTCCTTCCCTCACTACACTATTTGATTGTATTGTTAAACTGTCCCAAGACTTCGGTAAGGGATGGTCTAGAAAAGTTTACACACAGACACACAGACACAGACACACACACACACACACACACAACCATAACACTCTGCCAGAAATTTCTGAATTAAATCTTGGTCATTAGCAATGAAATCAACCTGTTATTAAAGGAGCAAATAGAGAACATGTCCTCAAAGGGGATCACTTCTGATGAAGGACAACCTTCGCTGGAGGGGGTGGGGGGATTACTTCCACATTTGAAATGTGGGAAGCTTCAGGGGCTGAATCCAAAGTTTCTTGGTATGCTGTGGTTAGCCCTCCTGAGCAATTTCAGAAATTTAACCCTGCACAATTTCTGTTGCCAAATCAATATCTCCTGCAGCCAGTTTAGGAAAGTTTTTCCAAGGGGCATGCTCCACTGACTGGTCAAGCGCAGCAGTGCAAGTACTGGGGGTTCCTTTCTCCCCATCTTTCTTAGTATAAAGATGAGATTTTTATTTCTTTTGCTCTGAGGCAGGTCAAACCCTGGAGGGGAAGACATCCCCTGGTTCCTATGCCCCTGTCTTGTGAGGACCATATTTGTAAACTCGAACAAAAAGCAATTAAATTAGATTAAATAATCTGGGTTGGCAGGACAACAGCCATCCCCACCAGATGGAAGATTTACAACAGTTCCTTCAGTTGGTGGGGAGGGAGAATCCAGAAAATCTTTTTATTTAATTTACTGTTTACAGTCACTTTTACTATATTTGGTTTTGATTGGATTTAGTTGTTTTTGGTTTTGATAATTTGATTTATTGTTCTACTGATTGTTTATGGTGTGCTTTTAATCATGTAAGCTGTCCTGAGATGCGATAGTGAAGGACAGCATACAAATGTTTTAAATAAAAAAATTAAAAAATAGTGAGTCAGGAAAGGACTTATTAGTTCCTTAGTCTCTCTCCTATGTTTAGGATTTTCACATGCATTCAAGCATCAGCAATAGCAGAAGTTTTGTGCATGGCAAGGGCGGTGGTATTGGCCAGGGGCCGTGGTGATGTGATACCCTCTCTTGCCACGTTATCCACTCTTGCAGCTTTTGGTTCCCCTCTGCCAAGCACTCACTGGCCACATTCACTCACGATGCCAAACCATCCAGCATGGCTACTGCACAGCCACCAGGCACCACGGTTTCCTACCAGGCTGCTGGGTTCTGACCATCATGTGGTTTCCATGCCCACATGGTTTGCACCCTCCTCCATTGGGGCAGGTATCCCATCAGCCTCTGTGGCTGAAATTCAATCCCAGGATGCACCACTCCTGTCTACATTGTCTGCCTTCCCCTCAAGGGTACACAAACTCCCCTGGGCATATCCATCTCCAGCTGCTTCTATTCCCCCCCCCACCCCCATTCAGCCTAGCCAGTAAAAGTAGCACTGTTGCTCTAGAGGAGCACTAGAGGTGAACTCCCATGTGCCACCATGCTCTGAGTCAACATGCGGGCACAGCCACCCTTACCTCCCCCCCTTCCTACCTTTTCCTTGCCACTGATTGGTCCACGCTCCTTGCACTGGCCAGGAGGGGCTTCATCAGGCACACAAAGGGCATCGGGGCAGGCAGGCAGGCAGGCAGGGAGTGCCCTCTCTTACCCTCTCCTTTGCCATGGCTGCAGACAGCCTACCCCAGTGCCCCACATTCCATCCTTGGATGCCCTCCACACCATAACCCTGGTCCCCCTCCCCCTATGCCAGGCTGCACTGTGAGCAGCCCCATCTGGAATTGTCCCTCCCCCCTCTCCACCCAGGCCCTAGCCAGCCCTACCCACAAGAACCACACCCCAGCCGAAACATGTTTTTATTCGGAGGCATCTCAGGTGCAGGGAAAGGGTGTCCGTACCAGATAGCAAAGCAAGATTTATTTAATTTATTTATTCAAGGCATTTTTATACCATTCCTATTTAAGGAATGACTCTCAGAATGGTTTACAGCATATTAAAACATTGAAATGTGACACACACTGTCAGAATAGCTTTAAACAATCACAAAATAAAACCAGTAAAAATGGCACATTAATGAGGATAAAAAGAATACAAAATCAAGAATACAGTCTAACAGAAATAAGTATAAAATTAATTAAATCAAGAGCAAATGGAACAAATAACCACAGTGTCATACAAAATAAAATAAGCTAAAAATATAAAATGTTAACAGTGAAACTACTGTGAAAATAAACAGGTTTTAGCCTGGTGCCAAAAGGTGTGTTATGTTGGCTCCAGGCACACCTCTCTGGGGAGCTGGTTCCATTCAATTGGTTCAGAATAGAGCTGCCAGGATGTTAACGGGGACCAGCCAGTTTTCACATATAAAGCCAGTTATCTACCAGTTACAACTGGCTACCAATTGAAGTCTTGGCCCAATTTAAGGTGCTGGTTATGACCTATAAAATCCTAAATGGCTTGGGTCCAGGATACCTGAAGGAGCACCTTCTTCCCTATGTGCCCTCCTGTCTTGGGAACTGAGGTAGAGGTCCTGCTCCGGGAGCCCTCCTTGAAGGAGATTGGGAGGGAAAGTACCCAGAGGAGGGCCTTCTCTGTGATGGTGCCCCAACTATATTATTTTTGGCATCAAACAAAAAAAAACCCTTTTATTTTCCTGCTATTCTAACATTTAATTGATTTTAACTGAGGTTGTAGTATATTAATGGTCAGATGTTATGGAGTTTGTTTTATTCTACTTATTTATTGTAAGCCACCCCAAGATTTTCTGTAAGGGAGGGGATAGAAATGCTTTTAATTAATTAATAAACCAGGTGTTAACAATTTTAGTGGTCCCATCTGTTGGTGCATGAGCTGTGCTGTCCTATGACCTGGCCCACATGTCATTCCCCCACCCCATGGCACCTCATTCCATGCTAGCCAGGCCCTGGATACAGGTTTCCCTTTTTTGGCATTCACTACCCCTGGCACTGCCTTCTTCCTACCTGCATGGAGATATGCTTACACATCTGTGTGCATAGCAAGCTTGCAGCACTGCACTAGGGCTCTAAGAGTTGCTTATGGGGCTATGGTGGGGGCAGAATCTGCACTGTGGCCAGAGCACTCTAATGTGGCTACTGCTGGGGAGGAGGCTGGCAACCATGTCAGAACTACCCAGGGACTTCCATGGGTAGTTCTCCCAGATCCACTGGGAAATCCTGACATGGATCTTCTGTGCCTCATACCTGGCAGCAGTGGGTACCAAGAAAGGGATGAAGAATCCACAGCTGCTGGCGCATCTAGGGGACAGAATGGTAAGGGTGCTTACAATTCCACGTTCTCTCATGTAGGGGCAATTTTGTCAAGAGAGGAGAAGGTTGGTTGGAAGGGTAGGATGAGAAGATGGCAATGTGGCCTGCTGAATTTCTCTAAGAGAAAAGAGAACCTCCTTTCCCCAGGAATTGTTGAAAATTTATCAAGCTGACAATTTCTACCACAAAACTATGCTTTTGCTAATCTGATCAGAACCAGAACTCATGAAAAGAGAGAAGTGGAAAGAAGGGACTTCTAAGTAGCAGTGGTGAGAAGGAGAAAGAATAATCTTGAGAAAGCACTACCAACAACAACTGAATATTCTCTATACAGTAGTTACTCATTATTCCTGGACAGCCACCCGCTGCACACACCCTTCTTAGCTCAAATTAAGTGAAGCATATAATGGTACAGTGGTAGGTTTTGTTTCAAGACTTTAATCATTCTCAACAGTAACATCATCTTGAGAGATTAAATTCTTTCCTTGGAGCCAGAAACTGACAGGTAACAAGCAAATATATAGGGCATATTTGGACTTTTTCTCCAGCGTTCAGGGAGGATCTCATTGCAACCCTTCCTTACATACTTCTAATTGCTGATCAAACATTTTTTGCAATAGTGAGTCTATTAAAGAAAGTCTGAAGTGGGGCTTTGCACTTGGGAAGATACAGCTCAAAAAATTCCTTATCAGGGCCCTATAATCCTTGGGAAAGGTGCAGCACAAATGACACAGTTGCAGTGAGTATATCAACCCACAGGCCTACTGAGAGCAGATAAGATTTGCCCTTGAGCATAACCTGTATTAAATCACCCAAACCTTGTTACACAAGATGTATTCCCACAACATTGCACCTGAGATGGTTAGTTCTCTCCAAGAACAGCTTTACTTTTTTCAACCAGTTCTGAAAGCTGAAACAAAAAGAAACACTTCTGAGACAACAAATAGTCACTCTAGTAGTTGTGTCAGTAATCTTTATGTGTAGGTCTGTTATTAGATCCAAAAACTCATTCTAAACCCCAACCACACTCTAAACTTGGATATCATCATGTTATACTAATAACCACCTCCACAACCCTTCCTCCATGCCCAGACAGTACATTTCTAGAACAGAGAATTCAAACACAGCCAACCCATCTTCCTTTTCTTACTTGAAGAACACACTCAAGGCACCCACCTCTCTGTTACTGAGGTGGAGGCCAAGAGGGTACATGCACAACCCAACCCTGTGGTCACCACTGTATCAGGCTGCCTGGTAAAGAAACATGGAATGAATGCTTGCATTTTTCAAAGGTATACCTCTGATTTAATGCATTCATCCTGGTTGTCAGTTTTGCAGCATTTTGTCTTCAGGCGAGTAAACTCTACCACCAAATCTACGAGTTTGTTAATTGAGAGGGTGATATTCTGTTTCAGCAAGTTGACAAGCACCCTGGAAAGAGAATGACAACTAGCCTTAGCATATGACAATGACGATGATTTTGTTTCTACACCATTAAATCATGAAAGCTCGTTGTGCAACTTACAACCATTCATAAAACAGACAGTACAGTGAAACACCCTAAAAATTTCCAAAATACCAAAATAAAAAACAGCTAAAACATTGCAGAGTAGACCTGTAAGAATACTTGGAATGGGTACTTCCTTCAAACCACTAGATTGTTTAGCATGTCTTTAAATGCCTCAGCAGAGAGAACTGTCTTTACTTGGTGCTGAAGGAATGACAAAGTTGGCTGCAGGTGGATCAGTGGGAAGATCATCCCACAGTTGGGGGGCTGTCACTATGAGAGTCTCCCTTCTTGTTGTTGCCCTCCAAGGTTCCCTCAGAAGTGACACTCAGAAGACAGCCTTGAATGTTAACTGTATTGTCCAGATGGATCATACCCCAACAAATGTTGCAGTCCCAAGCCATGTAAAGCTAGGTAGGTTCTGTGGCATATAGACAGCCAATGCAAATGGACCAGATTTGGTCTTGTTATGTTCAGAGCAACTGGTCTTTGTTATTAGTCAGATTACTACTTTTGCACTAGGTGCATCTGGCAAACCATCTTCAAGGGCAGCCCCCACCCCGACCCACTACTTTATGGTAATCCAAGATTGGTAGAGCATAGATTACCAAAAGCAAGCTATCCTAAGGGCATAGCTGGACCACCAACTGAAGTTTGTAGAAGGCTCTCTATGCCACTGAGCCCACCTGTGCCTGAAGCGACAAAGATAGATCAAGGAAGACCTCTAAGCTATGCATCTACTCTTTCAAGGGGAGTGCAACCCCATCCAGTTCAACACCCTGTACCCACTAGCAGGACCTCAGTTTTGTCTGGATTGAGGTTTCAGGTTGGATATCAGGAAGTACTTTCTGACAGTTAGGACCCCTAGGATATGGAATGGGCTTCCAAGGAAGGTGGTTGAGGCCCCATCAGTGAGGGTGTTTAAGGAAAGATTGGACAACTACATGTTGGGTTGGACAACCACATGAGCAGAGCAGGCTGGAGCCGGGGGTCAGACTACATGGTGCAGAAGACCCTTTTGACTCACTTTGTTTCTATTTTTCAATTGGTTAATCATCATCCAGTTTGTTGTCACAGTCAGACAAAAGTTTAGCACATCTACACCCTCAGTTAATGGAGATGCAATGCAGCCATGACGCTTACATGTTATTGGCATACTGATGGCAATGCACTCAAGAACATCAGATGACTCTGTGGTTTTATGTAGGACTTAAATAGCATGGAGGACAGAACAAACCCCTGAAAAAAGCCCATGAAGGATAATCCATACAGTTAAACAAAATTCTCAAATTCCACCTTTTGAGGCCAGCTTTCCAAATCAGCCACCCCAGAAGGATATCACAGGTAATGGTATCAGAAGCTGATGTGGAATTCGGGAGTATTAGCAGGGTCACACTCCCCTTGTTTCGGTCCCAGTATAGGTCATTATTCAGGGTGAAAACAGCCGTTTCTATGCCAAAACCTGAACCGAAACCCGACTGAAATAGATCCAGATTAGTCTCAATCAAGAGTGCCTGGAGCCTGATGGCCACCACCCATTTGCTCAGGAAAGGAACATTTGCTATTGCCCTAAAGTTGTTAAGTTCTTCCAGATCCAGAGAAAATATATTTGAGGCTGGCTTCACCACCACCTCTTTCAGACAGCACAAGAACAAGCCCACTTGGAAAGAGGCATTGATCACTGATCGGGCATATCTAGATGTTTATCTCTTCTGGGTTTTATGGGCCAGGAGGAAATGACAGCAGTTTGTGGATACTGAATCCTTATTTATGGAGGGTCAGGAAACTGGGGTGATTTTACAGACAGATGCATGCAAGTGTGTGTGTGCCCACACACATGATCTTGTCTCAGTCTGCCTGTCTGCCATATAGCCATGCCTTGGCATACCCTACTCTTGTAAATATCCTTATCATTTTCATCTTTGCCATACACTTCCTCATTTAGCCAAGTAGATCCATATTCCATAGTTGCCTAAGAACTTGTTAATTTCAATTACACATTGGCACTTTCCCTGTGGGGGGCACTTGTGTAGAATTGATGAGTTATTTTATAAGTATGGAATGATTGGTATTAACATTATTGCATTTATACCCCACCTTTATTCCTCTTGTAAGGTGGTTCCTTGTGTCCTCCTCAGTGGGAGTATTCGGTAGACATCTGGACTTACAGTTGTGAGTATGTGAAGACTTCATATACATATACACATGCATTTACACAAATTGTAGGACCTGATAAAGATGTGCCTTTTATAGAATATGGAAAGGGTGGGGGACAAAACTTCCAAAGACCACCTCAACTTACCAGGATGAAAATGGAATGGAATTCCATGAGGGTGGGTAGATTAAATCAGGAGAATTTAGTAATGAATGAGAGGCAGGGGAGAGGAGATTCAGGAGTATAGGAAATTAGACTTAAGAGTTCATAGACATGTGTGGTCAGGAGCTACAAAGATGAGAAAAGTGAAACTTCATGTACTGGTTGACTTGAAACAGTAAGCCAAATCTTACTGTTTCCTTTACTGTTTCCCCTACTTCTAGTTTCTTACATTTGGTTATTTCTTTCCTGATCCTCTGGGTTGCTGGAACACAACTCTGCAGGGAAGGTGTAAGAATCAGGATCAAATGGGGCAGGAGCATATTCTTGATCTACTCCCAAATCTGTGAAGCACTGCTGACGGAGAGCATAGGAGTCACTGCAGCATTGGCCAACTTGCTTATTTATGTAATGTTCTTCATGTCGCTGACATATTGCTCCTAGTACTCGAGCAGTCTAGAGAGAGAAGGAGGGAGAGAATATGTTTTCAAACTAAACAGTTACCTAGTAGTTTGAAAAATCTTGCAATTCCAATAGAATATATGTGGATCACACAACATTTGAAATCACATGTCTTATTAGATGCTAAAAGGTTGTTCATTGCAGTGAGGCATCATTTGTTTGGTTTATTAAACTGAAATGCCAAATTAATAAAAATGTAGTATAAAGAAAGATAATAATAGTTATGGTGAAAATAATCTAATTTGAAAATTAGTAATCCAATACATTAAAAAACCTGCACTAGGTAACCAGAAATGTAGTTCAATAGTGGATATTTTTACCAACACAGACCTTCAACTTCATAACTTCAGGTAATTGTGACAGCACATACAGAAATGAGTTTTCAGATTTTTCAGGATGGTGTAGCACTTCATCTGAAGGATGGGATGCACAGTTAGGGTGTGTGTCATGTGGGGCTTAGAAGGTCCAACTGGGGCTCAGGAGATCTAGGTTTCTGGTCCCCACTCTGTTATGAAGCTGATTGGGTGACGTTGGTCCAGTTGGTGACTCTCAGCCTAACCTACTTTACAGGGCTGATGTGGAAATAATAAAATGGAAATGAGGAGGACAATTATATGAACTTTCTTGGATATCTTGCAAGGGGAAAAAGATGGGAGTATAAATGAAATAGATAAAATTGCACAGGGCAGCCTGGTTACTTGATTGCATTATTTGGTTGCATCCAGGTTAGATTATTGCAATTTGCCCTACGTGGGTGATATTGGGGTATCAACATTCAGAGCATGTTACTTCAAAGTGGTCTATAGTTGTTCTCTGTTTCTGTCTGCATTTGTCTTAAAGACCTAATTGGTTAAAATCCGAATTGGCTGGCCTGAGGGGAATTCATAGTATAGGATTCGAAGTGTCTGGTGATATCTTTGAATGAGGCTCATCTCTGTGTTGCAGATGAAGTGAGGTGATTGTGTCGATGGGAGGGGGGGAGGGCACTTCTCAGTCATGGCATGGAAGCTTTGAAGGTCCCTCCCTGGAGAAACCTGCTTGGCCCTCCTCTTCATGCCCTGAGATACAGAGCAAGGAAGAGTTTCCTCAATGAACATCTCATGGTGACTGGTTTTCTCCTGAACTGAGTTCTGAAGGTTAGTTTATGGTCTTGTGACACTGTTTTATTCATGCTGCTTTATCTTATCTTGCTGAGTTCAGTTTTTGATTTGTGGATGTATATATTTGGCTTCATTTTCATTTTGGTGATGTTCTGGCATTGTATGGTATAAAATCTGCACAGGTTGTAAAATAAAGAAATGAAAAAGTAGGAGAAGTAGGAGAAAATACTCACATGCGTCTCAGTACAAATCAGTCTAGAGGTGTTAGCTTCAGGACAGCATTTAGAAGCAATATGTGTGAGCTGCTTTGTGTACTGGTACAACTCCTCAAATGATAGCTGAGGTGCCTTTTTGGTAAAACTGACAAGAAGCCTACAACAAGAGCCCAGTAGATTTTAATTAGAGAGGCTATACTGAGGTAGAGACGGAGTTCATCAAGTCAGCCTGACTATAACTTTTGGGGCTCTAGCATCACCCCATTTTCCCTTACTCCCTATTCCACCTTGCTTTTCAAAAGCTCACTCCCAACATCTGCATAAAAAAAAACACTGTCCATATTTGGGGTCATTTCTGACCCCAGATGAAAGCGCTGCAAAATGCCTTTGTACCAGCTGAACATTTCCCTCAGGAGGTTTCAGCCAATTTAAGAATAGCTTTCAGCTGTCAGGTAGTGTAGCACTTCTTCCTTCCTGAGACCATGCAAAGCAATAACATCTGGATGACTCTGCTTGTCCTATTGATATTTTCTCTGATTAGGAATAGTTTGGCTCACTAAACTAAAACAAAACTTAAACAAGTTTTCCCTCAAAGTATTTTAATTCCATTTGGTGGAAGTTTTAACTAAGCAACTTAGCTTTAAATAGAGACTGAGATGCTCTGTATTGAACCTCCTTTTATTCCTTTACATGAGGTATAGAAGTACCCAACAGAGCTATTTCTATTTCAGTCTCCTGGAAGATTGTACTACAGAATGTTGGCTAGTTCAAATCTTTAGCATACATACACACACATTTGGAATGACTGTATCATAGGATGGAAATGAATACATACAGTTATACAGTTTATATTTTTAATTCTGTCTCAACTGATTTTGAACTTTCAAACCAATATGCAAACTGAATTATCCCTTGAAATATACACTTTTATGGCTTTTCAGTGGCGTTCTCCAATCAAAATAATGTGCACAAAAATTCTTAAATTTGTTGAATGTGCACTCAGAAATATCAAAATTTCTGATTTCCCCATGCAGTATTTTAGGGCAATTACTTTCTAAAATGTGTGCATTGAACTAACATGTGGATAGAATGCATGCATCTGGAAAATGAAAAATGCTTAAGGATTTTTACATGAGTTGTCCAAAACTAAATCCTTGATGTTGTTCATAAAACAAATTTTAAATTGGAGAGAGAGAGATGAAGAGAATCTGAATTTGACAGATTGTATCCTAACCTACTACACTTTTAAATCCCTACCAGATTAAAATAGTTATTTAAATTTCTAGCTAAACCACTGAGTGAGCATCTGGCCATGAATTGCAATGCAGTCAAGAAGAACATCGTACAAATTTTGGAAGAAGTAGTTAATCAGTATCTTTTGAAAATTGCAGGTCATCTTTAACACTTCCAGGGCATTATAAATGTGTAGTCTGATTTCTGCATCCTAAAAAATAAAAAAAATAGAAAAGTAGATTTTCTTTTAAATGCTTGCATTGCTCTCAAATGTCTCCACTGAGATCAACTCAACTGCATGTATAGATAGCCTTCAGCTGAGTACTGAACTGACTCACATTGTTTATGTACAATGTAACGTGCATGAAAACATGGTATTCATGAAGGATGAAGAATACAAATAGTTTTAAAGAGAGATCAAGACATGATTTCAGATACCAGTCCCCAAAATGTCTAAGGCAAAGTGGGGTAAGCTTATTTGGTGGAGGAAATATGAGCTAAATACAACAAATAAACAAATGGTATAACTTAAAAAGACCAAGGGTTTTTATAATGCATGTTAAAGTCAAATAAACTATTAGTGAAAGTCAAGGGAGCAAGCTGTAAAGCATGAAATATTTGCAGAGCAGGGCTGATACCCCTTGGCATTCCTTGGAATCATCCAGGTAAGGTTTATAAGTCCAATTCTTGACTCTATTTTCTAGATGAATTGGATATTTTTCTTTCTTTAGAAATCGTCATGTTTAAAGATCTCTCCTAATCTAGAATTTGTCCTCTCCTCCTCCTTCATGCAAACAAACAGTTAACAATCCCATATGACTGGGGGGAAAATCAGAGTTGGAATGAATTTGTACCCTTGTACCCTCAGCAGCCTCAAGAATAGACTGACACTGTAATTGGGGGTGGGGGGAAGGTTTATCAGTCATGGGATGCCAGTTCTGTGGCACAAAGTGGCACCCACCACTTGTGTGATGATGAATTAGTGCTTCTGTGGGGGTGGGGGCATAAGAAATGAGTGGAAACACTCATTTCTGGAATTGGGCAGGTCAGCTGCTGTACAGCATGACCTGAGACTTCAGAATAAGGTAACAGAGGAGCTTCACTTGTCTGTTCTGTTTTTCCTATATGATTTAGTTCTCTCAGATCCTCAATCTGGTACATGATTATGGAAAAAACTACTACAGCATGCATGATCAGGCCATGAAGTTAAAATACAACATACCCTTTGAGCAAGACAAGCTGTAGGATTGTCAAGTTTGCAGCACTTCTCCAGGGCAGCCTCATATACCTCATCAATTCTCAGGAGGGATTGTGAGGAAAACTCAGGATATCTCCTTGAGATCTCATACAACACCCTGTAACACAGGAACAATTACATTAAGACAGAACCATAATTAAAAAATAAAGCATTGGGAAGGGTTTAAAGTGCTCGAAACTCTTCAAATGCATTAGCACAGTAAACCTGAAGATGACCCTGCAAGAGCAGTGTTTTTATCCCTGTACTACAAGATCAGAACAGTTTCAGGAAGTGTCCCATAAATCAAAATTAAGGCTACATGTTCAACCTTGTTTGGCCAAAATCTACTGAATAGACTAGCATTTTTACCTCCCCACTACCCCATCCTTGCACTCAGAGTCACTAAACAAGCAAGCAAACAAACATATTCACAAGGTTAGCCACTTTCCTTCAGTTAAAATCAATGCTGAAGTTCAGCTATATGCATTCCAACTGAAATGAACACATGAGGTCCTGCCAGGGGCACCAATCCACCTCACTTAACCATCCCTTAAATGCCATTGCTCTCAGATACATTTGGTAAGTTATAATGCAGCTGTATAATTGACTTAAGCCCAAACTCCTTTAGCTGGATTGAGATTGCTAGGCTCCCACTGGGAAGCTAAGCTGGGAAGTTAATGCTGCAGAGGGTGCAACCCTATGTCTCTGAGGCAGCAACTAACAAGCTCTAGCATATTTTGGATTCCCAGATACAAGCTGGAGAGAGCACAGTGATGGATACTTGCCATTTGCAAGGTGGTCTTGATCTCTTTATTCCTCTTTTGTCACTGGAACAAGCTACTTCTTGCTGTCATTCCTAGACATTTTAATTGTTTGTTTGCTTGTTTAGTAGATTTATATCCCACTTTTTTCTTACAAAGAACTCAAAGTGGCTTACATAATTCTCCTGCTGCTGCTCAGTCTTATCCCCACAACAACAACCCTGTGAGATAGGTTGGGCTGAGAGTCTGCGACTGGCCCACAGTCACCCAGGTGGCTGCATGGCTGAGCAGAGACTAGAACCCAGATCACCTGAGTCCCTTTCCTGCACTCTTAAGCAGTATACCATTATGCTTGACCACTGACTTTTTCATGCATTTTTCCATAACAACCTGGGACAAGTTTGGAAGGGCTGCTCCTAAATGGCATCATCTGTGGCAACCGCCAACAAGAACAAATGGTCTCTCAACCCTTTAGGTTATATATAGTGATTGGGAAGGAATTACCATCTGCACACTAGTATCCTTCTATGCTGGACCACTTGAGAGTACAAGATGGAAGAGGAAGAATCTTCCATCCAAATGGAGCCTCCAAATACCATCATGATTCCACTCTCCTGGCTGCGTATCAACTGTTCCGGGGCTCCATTAGCATGAGCTGTTCTGTGGGTAGGCAGCCTAGGCTTCTTCCAAGAGAGCAGGCAAATTGCAGCCTTGCCCATAGGGCTCCTCTGTTTTCTTCTTCCTGTCATTCCCTTATTCTCATTTAGCTTGTCCTTCTACCCCATTTCTGCCCACATGTACCCAGTCATCCATTGGAGGGATTTTTTCAGAGATAGCAATGTTGTGGTCTCTGGACGAGCATCCCAAGACCATATGATGATTCAGAGGGAGCTCTCCAACCATAAAGAGGGGAGTTGGATATGCAACCCTCCTCCACCCCCTAGCAGTCATGATGGAAAGGGCCAAGCTGGCTGCCCTCCAAGGTCAGATAATTGATACCAGAAGAAGAATAGATGGCTGTTCTGGAGGGCTGGAAGGGGAGGAGATGAAAGAACCCAGGATATGTTCCATCTTTGCTTCCTCCAACCTCTTTTCCTTTGCTTGTTGGACTAAAACACTCATATAGCATAATCTAGAGGAGGAGAAAGCAAGAGGAGGGGAAAGTAAAAACTCTGCCTTCCTCGTCCGCTGGATGGGTTCACTGAGTACCGCCAACTGCTGCAGTTTCCAATAATTAATCATGCCATTTGTAGGATTGCACACTAAGTTGCAATTTGCTGCTTCCAGATGGACCCTCATGTAGACTTGTCCCAGTTTCGATCCCATTTGGGCACTAATCTTTCCCAGTGTCATGCTCCTCTTTCCTCCTTGTTTAGCTTCTCAAGGGCCAGCCCTATCAATGCAGAGGGTTGAAGATAGTCTGACATTTCTGTGCTCACTGTGCAAGGTATAAGTCCTGAGTGTCAGCATATAACGAACATGCAGTTTTGTTGATGTATTCTGTGGTGGCCAAGGGCAAATTTGCAGGCTTCTCATTTTCCACAGTGAGAAGGCATTCTCCTTGTTCAAGGCGTGGCTTTTCACAGCAACCCTTTATTTTAGAAGAAATGGCATCTTGGTGGCTACAGATGTGGGCTGTCAATGTTGCCTAGAAAAGAAAAAAGTTTGCAAAGCATCTGTAACATGTGAAGCCATTGGTCCTCTTGCTTCACCTGCTGTGCTCTGACCAGGTCAAGGAACTCCCCCTGCATCTTCTTCCTCCCTAGCAAAAAAAGTCTCCCTGCTTTTCATGCTGTGCTTGAAAATCTACAGTAGGTAACCTTAAAACTTCCAAGTACCCTTCCTCCCCTTGCTCTTGTAACACTTCCTTGGAATCAGATGAATCTCTCTGAGCAGATTGCACTGTGCAAGAGTTGGGCTTCTTCTCTATACTTTTACCCATTCTAAAATTTGGAATTACCTCTCCAAGGTTTAATGTCAGTCAGGAAGCTACACTATGCTAATATTGTTGGTTGGGTTTATTATTTAAGTCCCATCTCTTTTGCTTTGGGCCTTGCCTCTGTTGACCAAAGGAATGCAACTCCTGAGAGCTTCAGTCAATGGAATTGGACCCCAGGAACAAAAAGTTCACCTCCCTTGTCTTACATCTGCCCCAGAGCACCACAGGTATTGATATTTGCAGCTCCCACCCTGAATCTCTCCTTGAGAGAACACTTAAAATGTAGCTGCCTAGCTTCTTGAATTTGTGTCTATGCATTGCAGGCATATCCAAAAGTAGTGGGGGCAGCGATAACTTGTAATGCATCTTCAGTTTGAGCAGGATAAAAAAAAACAGCATTGCTGACCTGCTATTCCAAGGAGAGTTTTGAGAGAATAAGGGCCAAAGAAAACCAGATTTCAAGGGACATGTTTTTCTGAATCAGTCCCCTCGAATCCAGTCAGTTGGTTTGATGTAATTTGTTGGCTTGATAAAAGCGAAAGGTATCTTACCCTCTTGAGAAAACACTCTGGTTTATCATCTTTGCAGCATATTTCATGGATATATGTGACATTTTCAGCAAGAGTGAGAATAGTAGGAAAATCAGCCTTTGGAAATTTTTGACTCAGCTGAATTAATTCTCTGGAATTAATTGAAATGAAATAAAGTAATTCTTTCAAGATAGATTGCAGCTGGTTTGGCTTACAACCCCCAGCTTTTGTGAGAATCAGACATGCTGACTAAAGTTGTACCTTCTTGAGGGCACCAGGTTGTCAAGGGCTAGTATAATGCCTAAGATGCAAACCCACAATAGAAACATATTCATAGTCAGTGGTATATTTGAAGTTTTACCAGTGCTATGTCTCCACGCCATCAGAGAAGGGAGATTCCCACCCATTTTAGGGAATGTATTAACTAAGCATTATCTGAATTCTTGGAACTGAGACTAGGGATGTATAAAATGTCCAACTCTGTTTGCAAATCATGAGACTATGTCCTTTTCACAAGTGACATTTGTGCAACTGTGAATTTGTACTAGTCTCCATACACACTTTCCCATCAAAATCACATTTTAAAAACTTCTTTAACCCACAATGGGAAACATTTCCATTCTTTCAAAAATGCATACTTCCCACCAATTCAAAATACATTTTCCCACTGTGGCTGGAAAAATGGGGGTAGGGGGTGAGATCATATTTTTGGCCATCCTTAGCTGAGACATGCCAGGTTATCCACTGGGCCTAAGAAAGTTTTTGTTTGTAGTTGCTCTATTCTAACAATGTGTGGATTGGCTCTGATGCTTAGATAATGAGAAAAGTCATTTGTTTGCTCTCTATGCATCTTCTAAGGTGCATCTGCCTGGTTCACATAGCACACAATTAAACAAACTGCAATGGCCAGGCATGCAAATGAGGGTGGAACACGATGAAGGGTTGGATCCAGGGACTGTTTTCCCTTGCCAGAAAGGCACTGCTGATGGAAGGTGCCTCTGACCAATTTTCAGGGATTCCCTCTTCCTCTAAAGCACACTACAGATCACAACTTCCAGCTGTGTCTCCTGACCCTTTGTAGAGCACTTTTTGGGCAGAGGAGTAGAGAGAGTGCTTTGGGAAGAATGGGGGAGAGAATTCTGCTTTTCCCAGCACATTTTCATGTACTTAAATCTAGGTCTGAGCCAGGATATTTGACTACTTTCCGACACTACTGTTTGAAGTACATCTTTCAATCCAAGTCTACCATCTGAACAAGTACTACCTCAAAGAAGATACTACATGGTGATAGAGATCCATCTCACTGATCATCTAGGTAGCTAATATACATATTCCAGGTAAGCAGACTTACAGTTTTGTGACCATTCTTTTCCCAAATGTCTTCTGAATAGAACAGATGTGCTCTTGCAGACTGCTGCTTTCTGTCAATTGCAGTTTAATGGGTGCTACCTGTTAGAAAAAGAAAAACAATATGGGACACACAAAGTGAATGTGCTTGATTCATTAGAGAAGATAATAAATAGCTTTTTCCTCTGTAAGCTGATAACTTCCTCCATAGTTCCTGTGTGATTTTAAGCCATGACTTTTGGGACTCCCTTACAGCTCCTGCCCATGACCTTGGAAGGACCTCTTCTTAATGCACCCAGGCTTCCAGTTCAATGAAGAAGCACCCTGCTCAAGGTCCATCTCTTCATGAAGTGATGATTGCCAAGAATTTCCCAATCCACCACTGGCAAATTTCTTTGTCCCAGTTCCAGAAGTTCAATTTTATACATAAAACAGTTTATAGCATATACAGCTAACCACTCCACGCTTGCAGTCAGCAAACAAACAGATTAGGTTCGCATATGAAAAGACGAATAACAGTTATATAATATCACATTGCATTTGTATCTCACAGCAGCAACCCTGTGTTAGGCTGAGAGTGAGTGGTTTGCATGATACATTAAGGTCAAGGAGCAATGGCTAGTGCTAGGCAGAATTTTATAAGAGGGGCATTTTTGAGATGGCTGAACAGAGAGCACCTGTGAGAACAGCAAGCCTGACAAATGAGATTGTTTCAACTCTGCCAACCATCCCTGCCTGCTAGGTCATTATGAGATTTTAAAGTTGACTGCTGTGTTGTTTGAAAGGGCTAGAACTTCAATTTCACCAATAAGACAAATGCTAGCAACTCTTTCTATTATATTTGAATCAGCCTAATGCATTATATATCAGAAGGTCTTTTACTTATTTCATAATGCAAAGATTATATCATTCTTTAATATTTTATATGCATACAAAAACACACATTGGAAATGTGAACTTGGTGAATAAAGATTCAAGGAGGAAATCAGAGAACCTCAATGGAGCCAGTTTGGTTTAAGGAGGTCTTTTCACTTTATTATTTATGCTTTCAAATAAAGATTTTTGTTCTAGATACAATAGAATTACAATCATCCTTTGTTAAAAATTGAAAAATTATTTTCCAATTATTCAGTCATTCTTTGCATCTTTCAAAATGTCTAGAACACTCATGGAAGGAATTTTCACTTTTGTTCTGGTGGATGTATCTGGAAATCCAGAATGCCAAAATCCAGGGAGGAGTTCTGGGAGAGAAATTAACACCAGTGAAAGGAAAGAATCTTCACTTGCAGGAAGACCCAAGTTCAGTCCAATGAAGAGGATCAGGTGGTTCATGGGACTGGAATGATCCCTACCAGAAACACTGGCAAACCATTTCCAGTACAAGAGCACCATGTGTGGCTGATTGACAGTGCATTAGTATAAATGCAGTTCCTGTCTCTCCAGCAGAGACAGAGTCTTGAAGCAGCCTATGCAATATGTCAAAGCATGGTTTGGATTATATTGACATATACCTTGGCACTGAAGCAGAAATCCTTGTCAGCTTCATTGCAGCAAGTTGAAAAGACCTTCTTGAGGTCAAGGGTTGCAGTGATGAGGGAGAAAATACTTGCAGTGGGGTTGCTTCTGGCCATCTCATAGAGGTACCTATGATGAAAAATATTTTGTGAGCCACCCTGTGGCTGGAGTTTTCAGGGCAGCACGCATAGTGAAAACAGAAATGCTGATGCTAAAACACACATAATGTTATTGGTTTTTACATTTTCCAAGAAGAAACAATAATTTAAAAAGAAGAGATAATTATCCAAGCAGTAAAAACAAGAATACACTTTAAAACCCAGTGCAAATATCTTAAAAATAAAACCAGCAGCAGTTAAAAATATTGCAAAGGTCTTTGCCTGGAATCAAACTGGAACCCAAGTAGTTACTGGATACAGAGCATTTTCTTGGACAAGCATTTCATAACATTGGGAGTCACCACAGACAGTCTGGTTCCAGATTTGTGGGACCTTCATTTTTACTAGCTGCTATTGTTCTGTCATGTGAACCCAATGGGCATGGGTTATGTGAGGTTTAAATAACCCTCACACAATCCATGTGAGGTTTATTCAATTCTCACTTAACCAATGTTTACTCAGTTTGTGCAACATGAGATACCCCAGAGCAGGGTTACATATACAGCTTGGTGCCATCCAAACTTTGGTGCCATAGGGCACATTGGGATGCCATCCAGACATTGTTATTTGTTGAGAGGTAGGAAAAACAAGGAAATATAAGCTTATTGGGATTCTCTGAACTCTACCTTAAAGTTTGGTCTACTTGGCTTTCACTTTTGTTTGCAACGTTTTTTCTTTTCATTTGAATAAGAAAAGTATACATTTTGAAGATAAAAGTTTCATGTATCTATGGATTTTTTATAATGTACATTTAAAATGTTGACCTTTTGGATGACGCATAGTGATTATTTGTCTCAAGAAGCAGAAAAACCAATATCGCATCAGGGTTACTTCAAACACTTTCAGAAGTTTCATCATGTAAATATGTCACATTAATTTGGACTACTATGCATTAGAGAAAAAGATTCCAAGCAAATGATCTTTAAATTAAAACAACAACTGTAAAAAAGGGGAGCTATATAATTTATTCCAGGCCTAGGCTGGCAGGGAGACATAATGGGCATATACACCCAGAAGAAAGAATCTGCAATTCTGCATAGAATTCAGCTGCCTAGATACCATTCTCAATGTTTGATCAACCAATGCTTGAATGTGACATACCAGAACATCTTTCACACTCTGTAAAAGTGAATTCTGACAGTGATGCCAATGACTCTGTGTTTGAAGGTGATGCCAATGACTCTGTGTTTGAAATGGAACTACTGAGAAACTGCTTCTTTGGGGGAACTAAGACATGAAGTACTAAAATATTCAGGAAAAATGCCCCCCCCCCACACACACACACACACAGAGTCCACAGAGTCTGACAGTGGGAAGTGAAGCCTGGAAACACTGAGGGATGATATAGAATGGGATACCTTGCAAGAGGGCATTGCTGGCTGGGATCCCAACCTCCGCTCTGCCAAATTTTGTTGTAGGTCCCATTTGTATCTTGGATATATAGTAACATTCAGTATTTGGTAAATATATGAGAGATGATTTGTAATACAAACCAATCACGATTTCTTATTACGTTCAAGAGTCCCCAAGAAGAGAACAAACTGTTCAAGTCAACTACACCCAATCTATTTACTTACCAGTCCATAAATGGCACTGAATTGTTCTGAAAGGCCTGGCAGGCCTCTTCTGTAGTTGGTTCTTGAAAGGGAGGAATAGTTGAGTTTCTCTGGGATAGAAAGCATGCCTTCCTTTCTTGATCAACTTTGCCACAACACTCTGTAAATGCATATTTTTTGGCAAGTCCTTGTGCATGACAAAGTATCTCTAAGAGAACAGTACTCTAATGGACAGAAGGAAAATAGTGCTTTAATTTCTTAACCTTGCACCTGGAAATCATAGTTGGCTATACATTCTAGAACACAGATTTTAAATCAGAACTGTGAAGAGAATCCCGGGCTGTAATTGAGGGCATGCATTCTGAGACAGCTCTGCCAAGTTGCTTCTCTAAAGAATTGTTTCCTGTTACTGAAAAATGTGTTTAAATTTTATTTGATTGCAAACTGAATGCCAGATAGCATTTGGTACAATCCTACTAGACAATCTGTAAGCTTTAAAAGGAAGTTCTTTCTGCTTGGAGTATGGCATTTGTACTTAAGCTTGTTTTGATTTAAACTGCTTGTGTTAGGCATTTTCAAGTGAATGTAAAGAGACATTAAACATGCCCATGGGAGACCAAATTATGTGTTAGTAATTCTATGTGTTATACTAATTTACCAGGGGTTTTCTGCATGCTGGATCAGCTAGTTCATCTGGAGTACATTTCTTTGCAAGCTCCATGATCTCATGGACCATTTTCTCCACCTCGTCATATGTGGCTACATCCAAGGTCTGGGCAAACAGGACTCGGACACTGGAAAGGGTCATACATTATTGAGATGATGGCCATTACTGTACACTGTTCAATGAGCCTGCCAGTTTAAGATTATGGGATTCATTTCATGGTGACGCAAGTCTCGCAAAGCTAAGGAATTGGAAGCTAAGGCTGGTGTCTTAACAGACATGTCCCATGACCACAAATGATGTTAGGCAATGTCTCATTTCACCCTCCATGCACCCACACCTCTCCCCAGTCTTTCAAGCCAGTCTTTTGCCCAGATTGGATGGATGGAATGCCAAGATCAGCAATGATGTCCCACATTCTTCACTGCCATTTGAATCATCTGAGTCTTACTGTATTGCTTGGATGTGTGGCTGCTGGGGCTTGGGGGGCTTCATTAATCCCACTAAACCTTGGTGTGGTTTCCCCCTTCCCCCTCTATAGAATTATCTGGACCAATGCTTGGCCATGGCCAGGAAGTGAGCTGCGCTGAGATCAAGTCCACTAACACGTAGGAACTCTTTGGCTTCGTTGCACAAAGTATGCAAAGTCCACAAGTCAGATATGCAGAAGTAGAATTCCACTTGCACAGTGGGCATGCAGGCAGCCTGTATGCAAGCCAGCCCCTCAGTCTCACTTGAGCTTCTTTTCTGCTAGACAACCTCACAAATGCTCAGCAAGAGAAGAACTTAGGGCAGAGAAAAAGTGGGCAGAAATCTGGGGAGCTATGGAAATCCAATGGATTCCCACCCCAAATTGGACTTCTCAAACCTTGCTGCCTCTAATATCCCTTAGTTCAATATTCAATAGCCATTGGGTGAGTCCACCACATGCGTTGATGGGAATCTTTCTGTCTACATACCCTGGACACTTCAGTAGGTGGCAAGATCAGGGTGAAACGGTGGAAGAAGGCGATGAGGATGGTATTGCTACTGAGGTGTTAGTCTTCATAGGAGGTTGCCTCTCTGAGGTTGGGAAATTGATATCAGAAAGATATTTCCTTGAACGTTGGGACTGAGAATCATGATGCCAATAATGAAAAACATTGAAGCAAGGTTACAAATAATGTATTGCTTAGATTTGGCATAAACACCAAGAAAGTTAGAGTTTGTGTATATAACTAGGGGAATGTACTGTTTTTGAGTCTGAGTTGGTTGTTTAAGCAATTTGATTTCATTCTTTACTTGTGTAGATAGTCCTTTTTTGTGTGACCGAGAAGTGAATGCCTCCCCATCTTTTAAAAGATATTATCATTTTTTTTCCTATTTAAAGTAGCTGGATTTTAAGCAGCATTTCCCAGTGAATTGGTGGGAGGCAGATTGGGAGTTGCTAAAATACATTAGGCAACAAGTCTAGCTGATTAATCTAATAATATTGCAGTTTCAACACTTGTAGTAGCTTCACTAAGAGTGGGCCTATGGCCCTTTGACATCATCTGGGGAGTGGGGACATAGGATACTCCAGACTGGAGGCAGAGCTGTGAGCTTGAAGATGGCAATCCACCTTCTGATCCCTCTCCCCACTGTTGAGCTGGTGCAGAAGGAGCCATGGTGGTTGCTTTTCTGAGGTTGAGAAGTCAACCTCTGAGAGGAGGTAAAGAGGGGTTTCCAATGGGGGGGGGGTGGAGACTGTTGCTGCCAGAATATAACATATTCCTTCCTTCTCACTCCAAAATGCCTCAACTAGATGGCCAAAAATACAAAAATGCAGAGGGGGAGGAGTGGGTAGGTGGAGATCACTTTGGCTACTCCCTGTTTGCATTGGATCCTTGGAAGATTCCATGTTTGTGGGTTTATGAGCATTCACTTAATATACACTTGGTAGTATTTTGTTCTTGTCAGTATATCAACTATTGCTCTCCTGAGAGTTCATTATTTCTCAAATATCCTTCTTTCATTGTTGATCTCATGTAAAACTTTCTGTTAGGACTTACATTTCATTTAATTCTTCTTCTGTTACTGCAGTGATTTGGACAGATGTTCCTGTAAATGAGGCACTCATTAAACATTGAATGATTCTTCTTCACATAATTGCTCTATTTAAGAATTATTTGATGAACTAAAATAAAGACCAAGTAAGCAAAGGAAATTAGGAAAATCCTGTCTTGATGAGAGTAATTGAATAACAAGTGATAAAGAGGGCAAAATCAGAAGTCTGCCATAGAGCTCAATGTATAATTTCCATGTGCTTCAGAAGGTACATATCTGTATTTGTTCTCACTCAGAAAGGAAACCAAATACTTCCATGCAGCATATATGAGTACAAATACAGATATGGATATGCGACATGAGGTTCCTTTGCTCCTCATTTCAGTCATGGGATGGATCTTTGGATGAGGATGGTGGAAAATATCCTCATACAGATCTAGGAAGTAGTGATTGGAGCCCCCCCCCCCCATTTAAATATAAAGAAGAGAGACAAAATGTGCCTTGCCATTTCTCTTCTGTTAGCTCTCAGATGTACTTGTTCACATTCAGAGTTGTTCTGATGAACATGAACACAATTTCATTTTAAAAAGTTACATATTTCTGAACTTGCAACCACATTGGGAAAGTGCTTATTTTTATATGTTATTTTCTCTAATAGACTACATGGGATACTTTCTTTTCAATGGTTAATGTGTGTGACTGTCTGTAAAATGTATCATACTTGTAAATGGATGACATCTGAATTGTAGAATGTGTATCTCTTCTAACTTTCACATAGCAAGAGTTTTCCTTATATTCTATTTGTATTAAGTCTTGTCCTAATGTAGAGTTGAGGGAGGTACACATACATTACACTCCAACAGAAACTCTTGCATCTCTCAGGGAAGCATCAAGTCCCAAGAAAAGACATACATGAATTCTAACATTGACTGACTTAAGAAGGAATATGGAAGCTATTCTTTATAGGATTTTTAGTTTCAGTCACTTTTAAATTCCATATCTTTTTAAAATCTTTCTACTTAATACTGTTAGGTTTTACCTTAGTTTTTGCTTTTATTTTATACTGTTTTCTTAACTATTTAGATTTTAATACTGTGACTTGTTCAGATAGCTTCAGCTATTGTATGGTATAAAAATGTACTACATGTTTTAAAAGATTGTAAACTAATAACAAGTCAGAAAATCTACATAAACTGGTCCATTAAAACATGAAAAATGCACATATAAATGCATACCCTCGTCAGGTCTACTTAGAGGTAAGCTACATTAAGTTTTGTGAGGCTTATTCCTAGATACATATGGTATGTATAGAAATGTATATTCACAGTACAATCCCATGTATGTCTATTTACAAATAAGTTCTATTGAGTTCCATGGAGTTTAATTTCAGTTAAGTATGTATCAGCTTGCACTGCTTTGTTTGCTTAATTCTTACCTCTAAATTCCTGGTCTCTTTCCGTCTGAAGTTGTGATTCAGCAAAACTTGCCAGGAAAAGAAAAGAAATTAACATTGCCCACTTCATGATTCCACGTTTCAGCCTGAAATCTGCATGGTACAAAGAGTGAAGGAGCAAATGGAGGCTCTCTTTTTCTATCTACATGTAATATCTGGCAAGTAAATAGATGGGGAGGGGATGTCCTGTTCCAAAATGTATATCCAAGCACATTCTGTTCCAAAATGTTTGGCCAAAGTCAACATTTCCAGAACTGGGAAAAAGACTAATAGAACCTGCCAGGCTACAAATACAAAAAATTAAGCTAAATATTTTCTTACCATGTATCTTTCTTATCAAATCATTTACACTTACATGATGCTCCTTTTCCCTCTTCAGCATACTGCTCTGTGCAAAATCAGTGGTATCATCAGCAGAAGGAAAATTCCATATAAGGAGTTCTATAGAACTTTGCAATGAACTGGGGAGAATATAACAATTTAATGTTTCCAGTTTCTGCAACTTGCTTCCCAACATAACATTTCCAGGATGCAGCACAGTCTTTCTGCTCTGTGGTGTCAGGACTCACCACTGTACTCTCCCTTCTTCCCTGCATGGTGCACCCCATGCTGTCAGTGTCCGGGACATGGGTGGCACCAGGACCCTGACAAGTGGCACACCACAAGGGCCAATTCCAAATCATCGTTAGGCAGTCCAGAGGTCAAAGCAGGTAAGAGAAGTGCAAGCTAAGTCAATCCAACTAGAGCAGAGCAGTCAATGCCAGTCAGGAGTTGAAAGCAGAGAAACAAACCAAGGTGAACCGGACACCTGGGACTGGAGCAGAAGGAAGAACAGGTAAAGTCATACATAGTCCAGAAAAGGAGGCAGGAGAAAGGCAATGGGTAGAGCCTCCAGAGACAGGCTCCCAGAGGCACAGAGCACCCCAACACCAAAGCCCTTTCCTGCTGAGATAGCATCGGAAGGGAAGAGCTGGTTCTTATATGGCCCTTCCCTCAGGGCTCCGGGGCAGTGCTCATAACATTCCAGGTGGCTGCAATTGACTGTGGGCCTGGTCCTGCAACTACCAGGGCTGCTATTCTGTTCTCTGGCCAGAAGAGGGAGCCCTGGTGCTGCCTCAGAGCCTCACACATGCATACAAGTTGTACCACCAACTTATTCCAATTTGTCAAATTATGTTGGCACTGGCGGACCTTTGTGTCCTGATTCCCACCCTAGCACTGCAAGGAAAGATCAGCTTTCCAAACCAATCAGGCAGACTTCACTGTCTAAAGGAATAGATGGTGCCTCAGTTATAACAGATCAGTCCAATCCAAAATCACCTGTTTCAGACTTTCATCAGTGCTGATTCAGGACATGATTGGTCAACCTCAGGAGTCACCCAATTCATCCTTCCATACATTTGCAGTTCCTCTGCATTAGTATTCCATTTCCACACATCCTTCCCTGCAATTAAGCATAGTTCTTTGGTCTTCCCAAAATATTGTAAGCCTCTTTACACTGTTAGTTTCTGATATAAAGCAACATGAAGATGTTCATCTAGGATTCTGCATCAGGATGTTCCTGGCTATACCTTGTTGGATGCCTTACACTGGCTGCAAGCAGAAAGGGTTCTGAGGAGGACACTTTATAACCACTCATCCTAAGAATTCTTGATTCTGGTTCTTGATAAAGCTCAATAGTTCCTCCTTCCACAAAATTCGTTCTGCATCCTGATACCTTCTGCTATCTGAATGGATGCCTTTGCAATGACTGCTTTGCAGACTAAGAGAAAGGGGCACCATTGTCATGAGATGCAGCAGCTAATACTGCTCTTGACTTTGTGATTACCTTATTCTCTCTGACAATTGTCTGATGAGGAAGGTAATGCCTTGTCCACTTTAATTATGGATTCGTTAGTGACTTCTGCAATTCTTCATGGACATGTTCTTTATTGATACTGCAGTTTCTCTTACAGAGTACTTCATCCAAGTGAAGGCATCTAATTACTTGATTAAATCTTATCCTAGCTATCTGGTAAGTCAGGCAAGTGTTATTTCCATGGTATCCTAACGTCATGGCTCCCTTCTTTATACTTCAATGAAGCTTCAAATTCTTGCGGTATCTTTTCCCCAAACCTTACTTTCCAGTGTGTTTCTCCCATTATGGCGATGGCTTCTAATTCCCAGAAGGCACTCCATTGTTCTGATATGAGGAACTCTTCATCAATTATACTTGGAAGAATTCCAACTTTAGTACCACTGCATGTTAATTAGAAATGATACATTTCACCACTCAAACAATCTCCACGGCCTGACACCACATTAAGAAACAAGTTCCTCCAAATAGAGAGTTTAATTCTTATTTTTGGCTTTCTGTGGTCATAGTGTTCCCAGACAGCTGGAGACCTCTAGTTTTCCATTCTTGAAGCACATCATCTCCTGTGATCTTGATCATGGCATTGCACACTCTTGGTGCTTCCAGCACATCCAGTCCCTTTTTTCTTCCCAGAGATCATGGAGTATGATCTTGACACTCTTTCTGTTTTGAAGCTGGTGGAGTCTTTGTTGCAGTGGTATGAATGGTCAATGCCTCCTGTCCAAACATAGAGCTTTTGACCACTTTCATCTAGTACCAATACAGCCCTGTTTTTATCCTTGCTGCCCCTTTTGCTAAAGATTTACACCGTCTGCAACTGTACTGTGCTCTGTAGATTTGGGCCTGTCTCATGCAGGGCTATGGAAGACAGGATGCTCGGCTTCTCCTCTGTACTTTCTCAGAGTAGATTTCTGATTTGGGCCTGGCCAGATTTACTGGGCACTGGTATTTCAGCATTGGAGGAACTGTGTAACACCTCCAAGCCAAAGAGCTGTTTCAAAACAGAAGCAGCAACACCAATTCAAACCCTTCCTTCAAAGCTGGATGGATGTGTAATTTTTCTTTTCTCCTAAATTCAGATTTTTAACATTTTGAATTATTTCTATCCTGAATGTGGAATGATATTCACATTTTGAGGCTTTCCTATTTGGAAAATGAATGGAAACAAATGTCTCTTCCATTTCTAGAAGAAATGAGGACTACATGCTTGCCTTGGGCAACTGGAGGACAGAAAAGTAAAGGAGCAATCACTAGCAGCCTCTGAGCAGAAGTGGAAGGGTTTGGAAGGGCAAGCAAAGATGAAAATACAACCTTGGGGCCTACTAAATTACTCAAATGGTGCAGGAGAGAGTGTTTTCTTCCTCCCAGAATTGTTTACACAGTTCTCCAGATGGTAATTCCTGCCTTAGTCATAGCCTTTTGCCCTTCATGATTCCTACCACAAATAAAGGTGAAAAGATGGGAGGCAGAGGGGGGATGTCAAGGGTGGAAGAGTGAGATGGAGATAAAAAGCTCATGGGAAGGAACTATCACCTACCATTGGTTATCTTCTAGTGGCCATCATGGCTGGTGACTCAAATCTCTCTCTCCCTCTGTCTCTCTCTCACACACAGACACGCACAGAGATAATGGCAGCAGATATGTTTTAGATATAAATCAATGAATAAGTGGAAGGTTTTGTTTGAAGACTTTATTCATTCTTAGTGTTAAACCATCATGAGCAATTGCTCTTAAGGAAGAATCAAATCCTTCTTTCCTTTGAGTTAGAAAATTAACATGTAGCAAGCAAGCAAACAAGGGGGCTTGAACATATTTGAACTTTGTCTCCAGCATTCTTCCACATCTGAAATAGAAGGAAATAAAATAATTATTATTTCCATTGCTAATTATGAAAATGGGTCAAATTGCACACTGTTTAAAAGATCACTCTAAGATATGATTCACACTCTGTCATCACACATAAGTAAGTTTGAAATGAATACAAGTTCCCACTTGAGAACTTGCAGCTCTAGTTTCAGGAAGTGGAAAGAGAAATTCTGAAGGGTGGCATGGATCTGAGAGAATTCCTCCCAAGAAGCTGCAGTGATAGTGTGCTTTCTTTGTATTTCATTTTTGGCCACCAGTAGCCAGTAACAGGCAGGTAGATGCAGACAGAGCTCTTCTGCCAGTTTTTCTTGCAGAGGGTGGAAAACCACCACATCTGCAGGCAATCACTAACTGCACTAACCTGTGTAGTCAGCCCCACAATTTCTGAAATGTCCTCCAGGCAAATTTAGCTTATGTATTTAGTGGGAAATGGTGAGTGGGAGTAAGTCACAAATAATACACTGGAAAATGTAGAGAATGAGCTACAAGAAGCTTGGACTGTCAGTTTCACTGGAAAAATTGTACATGAAACTTCTGTTCTACTGAATTTTACTTCCACTGGAACCATTGGGGTTGCTACTCCATAATATGCAAAAAGGTCCTCCAAGTATTTGATTTGCTGAATTTTCACTATGCAAAGTGAGGTAGGGATCTTTTCAGAGAGATTTTTTTCCTATATTAACATCTGTTCTTCCAGTGCTGCCTCTAATCAAAAAGGTTCTGCAAACTCTTGAAATACAAGAGACAGGGAAAGAGAGAATCCCAATAATCTCATTTTATATTCTCCAGAGGCAAATAATTGTATGGGAATTGGATTGTATGGGAAAGACAAGCAATGGAGATGTCCCTTTAAACAGACATTTAAAAAGAAAAAAGTGAGAATTCATATCAGCAATCCATGAAGGTCTTTCTGTCATACAGGAGTCCAAGTAGACTGAGAAAGATTGCATGACTACAGCTCAGATATCCCTGACTTACAAATTGGTATGTCTGATATGAAAACAAACTAGCCATCAGGAATGCTAGGAGCTTTTGAAAAAGGGAACCCAAAGAAGGTGTAAGAACCCCAATAAATTCCCCATCTTTTCCACACAGGCAAGAGCACAGGCTGTGGAAGGGAGAGGCTGGGTTTGCAGCCTGGTGCTGGGCTCAGAGTCCACCTCCGTGGGTGATGGTGCTGACTGCAGAATGCACAGGCCCTGTGGTTTGCAGTGCATGAGTTCCTTCCTTGCAGGGGGTCAATCATGGGGGCTGCAGCTGACACCCCTCCTGGCTGAGACAACAAGCCTTTAGTGCAGAGCATCTCCTCCCCACCCCGATGGCTCACCTGAGATGTTTAGTGCACTCCAAGATCTGTATGAAGCTTTTCGATTAGTTTCGGAAACTGAAAGAGAAGATCAGCACTTTGAAACATTAATAGGAAGGACTTCAGATCTCCATGCTTGTTCTAGCCCCCAAAACTTAAATTGCTCAGCACCCCAGTCCAAGCTTCTTTCTATTTTTTGCAGGAAAATGACTAGCTGAATTCTGCTCCACTACAGCAGAGCATCCACAAGTAAACTTGTTGTTCTTGTATAGCGGCCTTTTTCTCTACAGGAAGTTATGGACAAAATGTCTGAGCTGTGAAATGTGGGTGCACGGGAGGGAGGCAAGATTTGCTGTGACTGCAGCAAGGTGTGGTGTTAAAGGATCCTTTTCAGCTCCATTTTAATTTTGCTTTCTTCCAGTATATCCATTTCAGAAGGCAGTCACTAATGCTCCAAAGCTCCCAGGGATTCATTTTGATTTTTTGTGTGTGGCTTATTGCCACTGTATCTTCCAGGTTTCTTTGTTATTGGAACTGTTTGCCCCCATTCCCTAAAATAAACACAGGAAAAAACCTACTTCCTACACAGTCCTGCAGATGAGGCAGCCTTACTTGTCTGTGTGTGAACGGTCCTTTCTACAATTGTAAGATCTTCTCTCAATGACTTTGCATCCAGGGCAATCCTATACACATTTATTCCTACATCCCACTTTTGCTCAGTGGGTTTACTCTCCAGAAGGAGTGCTTGGGACTGCAGTCTCCCTGTTCTTTCAACACTGGTGGAATAATCAAAAATATGGGAATGACACATGGAGACATTTAATTAAGCAGTCCCATTCACTGTGTTCATAATTATAAGCTATTCTAGAGTTGATTCTAACATATATTCATGCACCCATCCACTCACACCTATGCACATGCAAATCCCCAGCCATATTGTCACTGAGGAGAGGCCTCCAGAGTCTCCTCAGGCTTGTGCCTAAAATCTTAATGCAACGCATATGGATTTTGATGAATCTCTTCCAGCTGTGTGTCATAGATCATCAGGCATCTTTTGTTCCATCAGTTGTCTGTTGATAGAATCTATTTTAATAAGAATTTCTTGCAAATAGCATCTATGTTAACATGCTCTTGCAAAACGTGCCATAGCACCAATCCTCCCAGCTGCGTGCGTGTGTGTGTGTGTGGGGGGGGCTATACTAGTCTGCAGAATCCTCCTGACCATGTAAAGCGAGCCCACTGCCACATCTGCCAGTCTGATCAATAGAACTCTGAGCTTCTTTACATTTGGTGTGTTTTTCTCCAATATCTTTAGCTCAAGCACGTGGCCAAGTAAGGGAAATATTCCCACAATGGTGGTTTCTTTGAGAAGCATACCTCAGTGTCAAAACAAGCTTTGTGGTTGTCTGCCTCACAGCAGTTTGTCACCAGGCCCTGGAAGTCTACAATCGCACTCACAAGCTGTTCCTCTGAGATGTCAGGCTTAGTCTTAATCATGTTGATGAGCAAGCTGCAATGAGAAGAGCAATTCTTTGTAACACAGATGTGTCTCTAATTTCATCATAGCAGAGGACGTCTACTTCTTGCTGGAAGTGCGCCCAAGGGAAGCAGGGAAAGGAGGAAATTTGAGCTCACAGAAGCAAGAGAGTAGTTCAGGCAAAGGAATTCGGACTGTGGTGGATCAGGATGACACGTTTCAGATGTGAGGGTCTTGAAAAGAGTCCTAAATGTCCTTTCCCCCATGAAAATAGTTCCTAATTTCTGTGCAGCTAGGAGAAGGGTAGATCCAAAGATGCTGCCCTGGAATCTCCGAGTGGGAGAGGGCCCAACTGGATATAGTGAGGATCATGGTGGTGTCAGCCTCAGTATGACTAGAGAGCTTGCAAGAGCTCTCTATCCTCACCGGATACCTCCAGCTTCTTCTACCCTGTATACCACATCCGTATGAAGATGTACAGAGAAAGGTCAAAAGCAAACCTGGCCTTTTTTCTGTACATCAGAACTGTGGCCTTAGGCCAGTAGTCTGTGTTGCACTGTACTGAGATGTGTTATCCTTATGCAGAGGCAGTGTAGAGGCTGGTGTCTCCCACATCAGTGCCTGAGCTGTATAGGAGCTCTCCATGGTGCTGAACTCCATCCCCACAATAGGATTGCCAAACTGGGGCACTATTAGACGGTCAGAATCTGTAAATGCTTCAGCAATGTGGAAAGGAGCAAGGCTGAAGCCAATGTACTGATTAAACTGAATCAACCAGACCAGTCCTGGACTGCTGGCCTCTGCTTTCTTACGTTTGCTTTTTTCTTTGTGCTTCTTCTGGAGCATCTGTGCATATGCCTTCATCTAAGTGGAACAGATCAGCATTGAAGGCAGGAGCATGGTATTCTGGATCTACTCCCAAGCCACCAAAGCATTCCCGGAGATCATCATAGGGACCAGTGCAGCACTTGCCAACTTGTTTGTTTATGTTGTAGTCATTGTGCTGCAAGCATATACTTCCTAGCACTAAGCCCATCTAGAAAGAGAGAGAGAAAGTGTTGACATTTAAACTGAGAAAATCATACTTCCATATTTAGGTTACATAAGAACTGCTTTTCAGTTTGGACATCACCTAAACAAGCCCAGTGCACAAGCCCAGAATGCTTGCACTGTACTGATCTTGCAGTGCCCTTTGCAAAAGGAATACCTTTTCTTCCACAAATATTCCCTTTGACATGTAAATATAAAATGTGGCTCAAGTTATCCAATTTTCCCTGTTGGAAATGTGCTTCTCAATTCTTGGGAAAAGGCAGGATCTAAATAAATATAAAAATACTTTTGTGTTGACAGAGAGAGATGTGTGCATTCATGAATGAGAATGAGGTTAACTGAACATGGAAGCAAAAAATGGACAACATTGCCAGGGTCAAATGTCTTTGGTCCTTGCACCCCTTATACTTCTCATGTGCATCATGGGAACCAGTGCAGTGCGGTGGCTAGAGCGTTGATCTGAGGACCTGGGAGACTTGTGTTCTAGTTCCCTCTCAGCCATGCAGCTGACCTGGTGACTTTGTGCCAGTCAAACCCTCTCAGCCTAACTCACCACACCCTACTCACCTTATTGAGGTGTCTCATCTCAGGACATGTTACCTTAGACTTAGTTGTCTTACATTGGATCTTGTGTGGGTTTGCATATTACAGCAAACCACCTTTGAATAAGCCACTGCGGATTGATGATTCAATGAAGAAACCAAGTTATGGCTGGCAGATGGTTGGACCTTTGGCTATCTTGACTCCCTCTCCTTCCCCTCACTCTTCCAGATAGTTCTTGTGGCAGGACCCAAGACAACTCCTGACCTTGGCCCCTCCCTGCCCCAACCACTATCCCTTTCTTATTGTTAGTTTGGTTCTTCTGCAGTATTCAAATATCTTTGTGTATGTACAAAGATACATTGTACATGGACATGCCTGTTCTTTCACAAGCATGCAGGACTGCATGTTCCCCTGTGTGTACCTATAGTTTTCCTTGGACAAACTTGTACAGTTCAGCTGTCAATGCAATTTAAAAATTGCAATTCAAACACTGGAAGTGGTGGGGGCGGGGGTGGAAGGCAAATACAGTAAATGCACCAAAACTGGGGCAGACAGTGAGCACGTTCACACAACATGACAAGCCACTGTGGTTTCTTGAGCAAGGTGATCTGCCATGTTGTCCAAACCCCACTGTGCTATTTTGGCATGGTACACTTAATTTTTAGAAACCATGGTAAGAAACAATGATACATTCTAGGGTTCCCACACTGTGGTTTCTCTGATTGTCTGAACCTGGTACTGTGGATCATTCTTCTCAATCATCCCAGAGTTCAGGACATGGAATAATACACTTAAGTTACAGGAAACCAGACTAGATATAATAGGAAAAAATCCTGACTGTTTGAGCAGTGTGACCAATGACCAGAGAGGTTGTGGGCTCTCCCTCACTAGAAGCTAAAAGATGCTCTGAGCTGGGGCTTGGACCCCAGGGCCCTCTGGTCCCTCCACCTCTGCTTTTCATCAATTCTACTATTCTTAAAAAAAGAAAACTGTTAAGAATATTTAGGGATATTTAATGGCTAGGAAGTAAGTATGGGGGGAGGGGGTCAGAGAAGTGCATAGAGGGGAAATTTTCTGGCCTGCAAGTGACCTCTCTGAAAATGCTATGAGAAGCTTGTGTAACCAATATAACAGTAAAACACAATAACAAGGATAAACTCATCATACCCCTGAAGCACTGATGGAGTATTAAAAATAAGTTGGCTAAACACTGATAGCCTGTCCAATATGGACAGGAGACCTGGAGGTGACAATGCTGAAATGTAAAAAAACAAAACAAACAAATACACCCCCCCCCACACACACACACTTTTCCCACATTTGCCCTGCTGTGGCATAACCAGTTCTGGCAACTCATGATGAGATCAGTCTCCCAGCTTTGGAGGAAATGACAACATTCCATTATGGTTTGATTGTTTTGGTGAGCTTTGGGGGATTGAGTTTTTTGAGTTTCAGAAGTTCTGAAGCTAAAATGCTAGATAGAATTCTTAAAATAACATGAGGATATAGAAAGAAGTGTTTAGGGCAACAGAACTGGGAGAAGGAGATATGTGGAGTTATCTCCCATTTCTACTGGGTGGGCTCCTCATGCGGAGTTCCTGACTGACAGCACTAAATGAATGAGAACTTTTACCTTGTAACATTACTCTGTCCCTGCATTGAATGGCTTTGCTGTACTGTGCTTTGCTATAATTTCATTTTGTCAACCACTGTGGGCTTTTTTCAATGCAGAGCAGTATATAACTAGTAAACAAACAAATAAATTATGCAGAAGAAAATACTCACATTTTCCTCTGCACATTTCAGTTTGTGACCTTCATCCAGGTTGCAGCATTTGTTAGCAACTCTAACGAAGCCCCTTGTGTACATCAGCAATTCCTCAGCTTCTAGCTGGGGTGCTTTCATGGTGTAAACAGTAAGGAGCCTGCAAAAACAATGCACCAGTAGGTTCTAGTTAAAGAAGAGATGGCAGGGGCTCATCTTTCCACTTGGGTTTCAGGCTCGCCACCCAGAGTACATGTTGCTAATGAGCAGCTTTTAAAGAAATTTAATCACTCAGTCAGTCTTCAGCTATGGTGGATTTCCTGGCATGCTGAAGGGGAACGAGAAAAATATGCTTGCCTTCCAGAGACTGAGGTCCTAGCACAGAGAGCTTTGGTGAGATTAAGGAAGTGAGGGCCGAGAGTCTCCCTCCCATCACTATGCTGAGCATGTGGCACAGTCAGAAGGACTTCCATTCCTAAGCTGCTATGCACTAAAGTTCTGAGCAGTTATCAGAATGGGGAAACAAAGCTACTGCTTATTCTTGTTCACAGCATCTTATGCACTCTGAGTGAAGAGTCATGCTGTTTTTCATAGCCAAGTGCATCACTCCCTTTCCAGGTTTAATCATGTTTCAAAACTTTAAAGCTGGAGGCACAGGGAAAGCCCAAATTCTCCACCCTACTAAGGTCTGTTGAGACCATTCTGCTGATTAAGCTTGTGGTGAGGAGTGAAATGTTCAAGAAGTTCTTTTGAAAAGAAACTCCTCCCTTCTGGGGGGGGGGGGGACGTATCTGAATGTAATTTTCAGAGGGATTTTTGACCTTTAATATAATAATATGATATAGTAATATATAATAGTTATATAAAATAGTTTATTATATAAAATATTTTATTATATAAAACGATATATAGTAATTATTGTTATAGGTCAAAATAATGATGTTTTGACATTTAAAGGTCATTCTGATGACTAAACTTTACTGCCTGCAACTTTAGTTAAGATGACTAAAGATCACCTTCCTATACGCAAGCTAGAATCTCACGGGAACGGCATACCCGTTCTGGAAGAAGTAGTCTCCTAATTTCGAATGGGCATCACAGTTCTTCTTGACCACTTCTAGGTTTTCAGCAACATGTTTTTTGAGCATCTCTTCCTGAAAAATAAATGAATTATTGTTACATGTACTCACTGATAATAAGCACAGCTACAGGTCAGAAGGCAGACAGCTTTGGGAGAAAGCCAGAACCGGCCTTCTAAGGTGGCTTTTGTGTATAAAATGGCTTACTTCCTTGAAAGAGATGTTAATTACAGGTGAGGAAACAGAGGGTAGGTTTGCAGTGGATCATTTTCCGCAGTGGATCATTTTCCACAGTGTCAGGGAGAAGTCAAGGATAAAAGAAAATCTTGGAGAAAAGAAACATTGTGGCATGTCTACTGTTACAATACACTTTAAATACAGATAAGTTACTATAAGCCGGGGAAGAAAATCCGATACCTGAAATTTTGCAAAACATGAAATAAAAATACCCCTTGCTTTTGCTTGAAATCAGCCATCCATGATTGTTTTCATCACCTGTTTTCATCTCACTTCAAACATGTCTGCAATTACCTGTGTCAGTAGAAAACTTGCAAAATGTTTTTTGCAGAGGAACACTGAACTACCACAATGCATGTGCCTTCAGCTTCGGCATGAAATGTATGATCCTCTTGCCTCATTTCAGTCCTCGCCCAAAGGAGCACCCTGAATCTAGAATTCACCCTTTCTTTCCTGAAATATGCATTGAATGAATGTCTCAAAAGACAGATGTAACTGTTGAATTGAAGTGGTACTGTATTTTCTGAATTCTCAGAATATTTAAGTGGGTACAACTGGGGCCAACATGAAAAGCAGAGTGGCAGTTCAGTGACAGAGCATGTGTGTTGTACACAGAGGAGTTTAGACTCACTTCCCAACAACTCCAGGTAGTTCTGGGAAAGACTCAAGTGTAAAACTTTGAGCTACTGCTGCTAGTCCAAGGAGGCAATGCAGAGCAGAGTACGTTACTCAATAGTAGAATACGTTAAAATAACAGCAATTAAAATGAGCTATAAAATAAAAACCAGGGGCCTGAGCTTAAGCTCCAACAAGGTCTGGGACTGAGGCGGCAAGTGCAGTGGTCTCAGTTTTGCTGGTTGTGACCAGCAGAGCCACCCAGATCCTGCCCACCTGTCCCCATGATGTGAAGATGGAAAGAAATGTACCCCTTCAGGAAGGCATGTCTCAGGATGCTCCATTGCACAGCACCTCTCCAGCAACCTTTTATAACCTTTGGCAGTTCTTGTGATCAGCTGGCCTGAAAACTCTGGGTGCCGTCTTGCATACTCATATATAAAACTGCAAAACAGGAAAGGTTTTCTCAAGAGACAAGAACAAAAAAGAAAAATATCAAGAACGACACCTAAAAGTCTTCAAAAAGGCTGAAAGGCTGTCCCCATAATGCTTGGGACAACCCTGGAAGATGAAGTCTTATTCTTTGCATATTGCAAAACCAGAGAGTAAGATGGATTGTATTATTGTTAGACATCTTGACTGCCATTCCATAGGGGGCTGATTTTATAGTTTTGTATTATTTATTTATTTCATTGATCTTTTTATCTGGAAACCAAAGCAAATGTATGGATTGGGTAGTTCCCACTATCTCCTGAAAATAGGTAGGATTGGGCAGTCAGGCCCATCCAACTTCTTTCCCAGTTTCTTTCCCAGATCTGGCTGCCCATCCTGCTTCAATGTCTCCCCAGCCCCACCAACTTTTACTCCCTCACTGCATGCTGTTTCAGTCCTGTTTTGGGATGGCTTCTTAAAGGAGAGTCTGAGTTGCAATTGAATGTGTACAGACTAGCCTTCTGAAGGGCCTGATCAAGAGCCTCATCAAGCTTTGGTCCCAGTCATTCAAAGAGATACAGCCCCTCCCTCTGCACATTTGACTGCTACAGCATAGATCTGTTTAGAATATGAAGGATCTGCTAACAGAGTATGAAATCTCTATTCCATACTTATCAAGATGGTCTACTGTACTATCAGCATAATCCTGGCAGGGTTTTTTGCCCTCTATGAACTCCCTGACTGTTGGAGACAAATCTGCAGGCTTCTCATCATTTTCTATTTTGATAAAGCAATTCACTCGTTCCAGCCAGGGTTTTTCACAGCAGTGGTGCACTTTAGAAGAAAACTTTTCTTGGTGGCTACAGACATGGGCTACCATATTTCCCTGAAAGAAAAGAGAGTTATGAACAGCTTCTTATCTGAAGGAAGTAGCTTTCCAACTGTAATCTAGGAGTACAGGCTCCCCACAGTTCATCAGGTGCTCCTCCATTAAATGACTTGCAATGGTGGCCAGGTTGCCTTACAAGGCCCATTGACCTAGACCATAATTCATCTCCACAATTCATCTCCTGCAAGTTCATATGCAGAGAAGGGGCATGTGCGTTCTTTTTCATATTGTCAGATGTGGAATGAGGCCCAGGAAGTTTTCACTCAGTGCCATATGATTTGGGTTCTTTTATGTGCGCATCACCGAATGATCTGACAGATGCAGTTCTATTTGTGTAGGCACCCTGCAAACATTTCTGAAACCCACATTTCCAGCATGAGCACATTACGGGAAAGCTTGACCAGTGCATCCCAGCTAGAGTCATCAACATACGAATTATCTTCACTCATCAATTTTCAGTTGTTTCAGAAGAATTATTTTTGGTTTTTTTCTCTGTTGCTCAATTGAACTTTTTTCAGAGTATTGGAAATGAAAGGCAGGCAAAAATTACAAAGCAAAGTTGATTCAAAGGAGAACTGATATGTGGCCTTACTTTCCATAGCAATTAACACCTTGTTAATGTTAATGCATTGAAATTAAACCATCTCACCCTAGCAAGTAAACACTCCACTTCATGCCCGTTGCAGCACTTATCATGAGAGAGCACAATATCCCTAGCAAGTATTTCAAGATCGGAATTTTCAGCCTTAGGGAACTTCTGGGCCAGATTGGCAAGTTTCCTGCAAAGAAAGGAAAGGAAATATGAGAAATACCCCAAGACAGATTCCAGATTTTTGCCTAATCCCAGAAATATAACCAGATTAGTTTGGGTTCCACAGTTTGTGTAAATGAGAGGCTACACCACTGACAATATTTGAAGTTG